CTCCTTTTGTGTTTGGGTGGAACCCTAGGGCCTCAAGCACACGAGGCAAGTGCTCTACTATGCAGCTACACCCTTAATTATATTCCTTCAATTTAACTGCATCTCAGTACCTGTTATCCATTCTTTCTGTATCTCCCTTCCTCTCCACCTCCATCTGCCTCTAATAATCACTGTTTTGCATTCAGATCTACTTTTTTAGCATCCATATATGAAAGGGGGGGGAGAATATGAGGTATTTGTCTTTATGTGTCTGATTTATTTTACGTAACATGACGTCCTCTAGTTGTACCTATTTTGCTGCAAATGATAGGATATCATTGTTTTTTACAGTCAAATAATATTCCATTGTATGTGTGTGTGTGTATATACATATACATATACATATGTGTTTGTGTGGGGTTGTGTGTAGGTATATGTGTGTGTGTGTGTGTGTGTGTGTATCACATTTTCTTTCTCCATCAGTTGATGGGCACCTATGTCAATTTTATATTTGAGCTATTGTAAATAGTGCCACAATAAACATGGCAGTGCAGCTATCTCTTTTGTAGGCTGATTTTCCTTCCTTTGGATATATACTCAGCAGTGGGATTCCTGGATGATGTGGTAGTTCTATTTTTAGTTCTTTGGGGAACCTCCGTACTGTTTTCCACAGTGGCTGTACTAATTTACATTTCCACCAATAGTGTATATGAGTTTCCTTTTTCCTATATCTTCACCAGCACTTGTTAGTTTTTCTTTTTTATTGTAGTCATTCTAATTGGAGTGAGATAATACCTCATTGTAGTTTTGATTTGCATTTCCCTGACAGCTAATGATGTTGAGCATTTTTTTCATAAATTTGTTAGTCATTTGAATTTCTTCTTTTGAGAAATGACTATTCACATCATCTGCCCATTTTTTAGATGTATGTTTTTTGTTCTTGAATACTTTGAGTTCCTTATATATTCTGGATATTAATCCTTTTTTAGATGAATAGTTTGCATTTTTTTTTCTCCCATTCTGTAGGGTGTGTCTTTTCGTGTTGAGTGTTTCCATCACTGTGCAAAAACCATTTAGTCCTTTTAGTTTGATGTAATCTCCTTCATCTGTTTTTGCTTTTGTTATCTGTACTTTTGGAGTCTTATCAAAATCTTTACCTATATTGATGTGACACTTCTGACTGGGAAAAGCTAGAGTGGATTCTTGGAGGAGGTAAAATTTGAGTGGAGTCTAGTGGTCGAAAATAAATGGAGGGCTGGGGATGTGGCTCAGAGGCTGAGTGCCCCTGAGTTCATCCCAAGGACCCTACATAAACAAACAAACAAATAAATAAATAAATTTCTTAGGCATAGGTGAGTTGGGCCTGGAGGGGAGATAGAGAACAGGAAGTTCAGGGCAATTCAATAGGCTTGGCTCTGGCTAGAAACACCCAAAAGAAGTGGGTAAGGGCTGAATTGTGGAGTGCTTTGCTGGCCAGTCCTGGGATTTCTGGGCCTCTCTCTTTGCTCCTCTGTGGACTCCTGCACACAAAGCCTGGGCTACCCTCTGCAGTAAGGTGGCAGCTGGCTGTCCAAGCCAGCTTCTGCCCTTCTTAGGGACTCTGGCACCCTGCCACTCATATCTACTGGGCAGGAACACAGGCCCCACCTCCTCCTTCCATCCTGCCAGCAGTGGGGTGAGTGGACAGGACAGCTGATCTGAAGGCAGCGACAGGCAGCTGAGGTTCCCCTCTACCCCTCCACATTGGTAGGCCTGGCAGACAACAGGAAGGCAGCCAGGCTGAGCAAGTCCCTTGTTAAAAGAAGCAGCCACACACGGTGGGCTGTGGATAACAGGCCACTCGGCTTTCATTAATTGCTCATCCCAGAAGAAACCGGAAGATGGTGGGGGGGGGAGGGGGTTGGCAAAGTCAAGGCAACCTGGACGGCTGAAACCATCCACAGCCAGCTCCTGCTGCCGTGTTTACTCCCCTGTTCCAGAGACTCCCTTCCCAGCTCCCTTCTGTCTCCTTTTATCTTTTAGAATAATTCTGAGTGGGTGGTTAGGTCTAGAATAACATTGGGTGTGACAAGAAATATGGGTAAGAAGGGGGGGCAGCATGAAACTAGTTAATTTTTAACTAGTTTCCTATTTATAATCTAATCATATTACTCAAAATTTGATTTTATAAAAAGATAGGAGAATTACTTGTACTCTTTGGCCTAGCACCCTCAAACTGCCATTATTAGCATCTTCATCTGTTATCTTCCAGTCTCCCACCAAATTTGTACATATATAACACACTTTTTTTCTCTGTCTTTCTTTCTTTCTTCCTCTCTTTTCATACTAGGATTAAACCCACTGGCACTTTACCACTAAGCTACATCCCCAAACCTGTTTATTTTATAATTTTGAAACAGGTCTCACTAAGTTGCTGAGGGTCTTGCTAAATTGCTGAGGTCAGCCTCAAACTTTCAATTCTCCTGCCTTGGCTGTCTCTCTTGGGTTATTTGATTCCAAACCCCATGAACTTTCTACTCTCTCCACTATGCTATTAGCTAGGTTCAGAAAAACTCCAGGATTTGCCCAAGATCATAAAATTCCTGTGAGGCAAAATGAGCCTGGAACCCAGATGCCCTGGTCTTACATCAGGGGCACTTCCCCAGGCTTTCTCATAAGCTGTCTTCTCTCCAATCTTTCACTTGTACTTTCTGGACCCACTTGATGTCTCCCTGTGTCCATTGTTCAGGCTCAGCAGGCCCATAAGACTGAAGTGAAAAGGCAGAAGTAGAAAGGAATTTGGTGCCTGTAGAACGTTGGAGCTATTGAACCTCTGGATCATTGAACATCTGATTTAGCTAACGCTGGTAGTCTCTAAACTTTGGTCTGTTTGTTATCTGAGTTAATACATTTTCTTTTTCCTTGTATCAGCCTGTTGAGTTAGGTTTTACTGAATCCTAACAAGCACGAACATTGGTGTCTCTAATCTCACAGTTTTTACTCCCCAGGACACTTGTTGAAGCAAAACTGTCATTTCCTCTTCCTTTGACATCAAGCTGGTTTGTGGTGCTTAGTCCTGGTCCATTGACAAGATGATAAGTTCTTAAAGAACAGAAGGCTTTGCCCTTATGTGTTTTGAAGCCCTGGATTCTGGTACTGACTCCACTGGTAACTGGTTTAGCCATTTACCCTCTGCTGTGGTTCAACTGTGTCCATCAAAGTTTGTGTTAGAAATTTAATCCCTACTGCAACAGTGTTTCAAGATGGGACCTTTAAAAAGTGGTCAGGATTAATGTCATTATCATGAGATTGGGTTAGTTATCAAGGGAGTGGGTTCCTGATAAAAAAATGAATTCAGCCCCTTTCCCATCTCTCCACCCATCTTTCATGTGTGTACATGTGTGCAAATTCACACATCCTCCTTTGTCCTTCTTTCTTCAGCCAAGGAATGAGGCAATAAGAAGGCCCTCACCAGATTCTGGACTTCCCAGCCTCAAGATACCTATATCTACCTATCTATATCTATATCTATATATAGATATACACTCACACATATATACACACATGTGTATATGTGTATGTGTGTGTGTGTATTTGTGTGTGTGTGTGTATCCTCTGTATTTATAAATTACCCAATCTTAGGATTCTGTTATGATAGCAGAAATTGAACTAAGACACCCTTTATCTTCCCAGTCTGTGTTATTGTCTTGGGGGGAGCTGCTGAACCAAGGAGTGATAAATAAGTATTATATTTATGCTAATTCTCATTGGAATATTGTAGATCATTTTTATGGAGCAGCAAAAAATACATGATATGGGCTGGGGATGTGGCTCAAGTGGTAGCGCGCTCGCCTGGCATGCGTGCGGCCTGGGTTCAATCCTCAGCACCACATACAATAAAGATGTTGTGTCCGCCGAAAACTAAAAAAATAAATATTAAAAATTCTCTCTCTCTCTTTAAAAAAAATACATAATATATATTTCCATTTATATGAAGTTCAAAAATAATCTGTAGTGCCAGAAATCAGAATAGTGATTATCTGGTAGGTGGAAGGACAGTGACTATGAAGTAGCATGAAGGAACTTTCTGGGCTGATGAAGTTTTCTGTATTTTGTATATATATATATACATATATATATGTATATTTATATGCACACACATATATGCATATATGTATATATAAATATATAATATATGTATAATTTATGCCTCAATTTTTAAAAAATGTTTTAAGAAAGAATGGATTCTGATATCATAATGAGTTTGGTAGTCAAGAATGCTGTGATTGATTAGTGATGTTTGCCATGGACAGGGGGAAAGTGATAGATGTCAACACAAGTACCACACAGTTGCCATTCTTATGCTTAACCGATCATCTTCCGAGAGAAGTTTCTGCGTCATTTAAGTGTCTACCTTAGAGGATTATAATAAGGTGAAGGTTCTTTGTATAATGTGAATCACTAGCCAAGTGTAAAATGTTATATACATTTATTCCCTGCAATGTCTTGCATAGCAGGACTGACTTTGGCAGGAAGTTTCCCCCCAAATTCTTCCTAGCTGAAATGAAATGCAGCAGAGAGCAGAGCCAGATATTTTCAAAATGCCAGGCTCCCCATGAACATGGACATGGCTTGTCTGTCCCTTCATTCATATTACAAACACTTAGTGCTGATGTTCATTTACACACTGGCTTTCCCATTGTGCAGAGCCATTTTTGAAGGGACTAAAATGATTTCCACAGGCCAAGCTAAGTAATGCATTTTCTTCTGAGGCTTTATCCTTTTCTAAGGCTCTATCTCAAGATGGGGTCTGGGATTTGTCATTTCTCCTTCCCCTTCCAACTGCAAATCTGCTGGGGCCTTTCAGGGCTTTGCTCCATAGGCTCTTGGTTTATGTCTATTAGCCAAGGCATCTGGTTTTGGTGCCTTCTGTCACCTCTGGGAGCCTCTGGATTACTGATGAGGATTGTGCTAACCAGCCTGCATCTTTGGGAAGCTCAGGGCTCATCAGATGTGCTCTTTTCTGCCTGGTGTCCCCACAGAGGGAGCAGGACAGAGCCTGGCAACCGTACCTGTACTTCCGAAGTCAGCCAGACAGCCAGGCCCAAAGAAAGATCCAACCTGGGTATTCAGCTAAGAGATACCTCCGAGGCCTCTTGCGGACTTGGCCCCCTGATACCATGTACAGGCTCCAATGTGCAGGTCAGTAGGGGAATGGGAGGGGTGAACCCCAGGCTGCCCCACTTCTCATTCTGGTGGGAGGGTGTGTTTTCCATCAAGACATGAAGCACCAGGAATTCAGGCCCAATTGTGTATTAAAGCAAAGTCCCTGAGCTCAGTAGCCTACAAGTCTCTATCACGGCCATGGCCCTTTATCCTCCCTCAGAATTTGCAAAGGGAAGGACAGACTGAAGTCTTGCCTTCACGCCTCACACTCCACATCCCAAGCCAGAACTTTCTTTCCAAACTTCCCCACTCAGGGGCCTCAGAGACCCTCCAATTTAACTTCCACTATTTATAAGGTAAGAAAAAAAAAAAAAACAGGGCCCAGAGAAGCAAAGTATTTTTCCAAAATCACTCAAAAGCGGAGCTGGGGCCAGAAGTCAGATCCCCTGCACCCTCAGCTCCACATTCTTGCTAACATTCCCTAGCTCCCCATCTGAGGCGATCTCAGATGCTCCAGGACCTCTTGAAGATGGCGGCTCTCCAGCATAACTCCCTTAAGGGTGAGATGGACACCCTTCTGCAGAACAGAGACCCTAAATGCACTCTGCAAAGGCTTAAAAATGAAAACGGGAAATGAGGATTGGAGTTGCCAGGTTGAGGGCATACACACACACACACACACACACAGCTAAATTTGAAATATTTAAGACATACTTCAACTAAAAAAGTATTCATTGTTTACTTGAAATTCAAATTTGACTGGACATCCTGTATTTTATTTGGCAAACCTACTGGGGATGAGAGGTAAGCTGTAATATTTGCCAGTACCCACTCTGCTATTTGCCATCTCTTCAGCACCAACAAACAGGCAAGACCAGAAGAATTCTGGCTTTCTTTTTCCTTTATAAGTTTACCCTGGGAGAGTCGAGAAAACAGCTCTCTCCCTAGTAAGTGGTGACTTGAAGCAAAATGAGAGATGTGGGCTTGTCCAATAATTGGCTTTACTTTCATGGCAATACCATGGTCGCAGGCAGTTCATTTATTCAGCACTTGTGAGAAAGAGCCCCTTAGCCCAAGATGTGTTTATCATTGGATGGGGCTGAGGCAGAGAAGGCCACTGCCCCATTGCCTGAGCCCAACATCTCTAAGAAAGAAGGGACCACTGGGCATGGTGGCACACACTTGTAATCCCAGCAGCTCAGGAGGCTGAGGCAGGAGGATCATGAGTTCAAAGCCAGCCTCAGCCATTCAGCAAGACCCTGTCTTAAAATTTAAAAAAAAAAGGCTGGAGATGTGGCTCAGTTGTAAAGCAACCCTGGATTCAATCTCTGGTACCATAAGAAAAGGAAAGGGAAGGAAGGAAGGAAGGTTAATTCCTCTTAACATCAATATATGTCACAGACTCTTCTATGGGAGTCAAATGGCTAAAGCATGTGGTTTAACAAAAGACATGTATGTATACCTGAAGGCTCTTTTCATAACTTTTTGCCTAAGCACCTCTTAAAGGTAGGCCTTCACGCTGGAGAAATAATGGATAGACTCTGGTGAGAAATGACCTGCCCAATAGCCCCTGCCACTCTCTCCCTCCCTCACATCTCAGAGCCCACCATGTTTGTGATGCTAGTATGTTCTCTGGTCCCTTCATTCTGCCTCTCTGAGATAGTCTCTCTGCCCTTCAAGTTAACATCTTCTCCAAAGGCTTTTTTGACAACTCTAGCCCATACTGAAATTCTTGTTTTCGATCCTTACTGACACTCGGGCCACAAGTTGAGCACAGAGGAGCTCTGTCTATCTAATAGACTGAGTGTCTTTAAAAAGGGCCCATGTCTGGTCCTGCTGTATCCACCCTACTGCCTGACAGAGGGTAAGCCTTAAACAGAAATTTGCTTAATGACTAGATTGAGAAGGCCCACAGAAGCAAACAGGATATATCCACTACCATTGGATCCCTCCTCCTAGGCAGAATGAGCCTTTCACCCAACTCCAAGGAAACAGCCATGTTTTTTACATGAGGAAGACCCAGTTTTGGGGAATGGTGAAGTTAAAGAAGCATACTTATAGCAGAAGACTAGAAGAACAGAGAAACCTCAATAGGCTCAATCTCATTTCTTAATCCCTCTCATCTTCTAACTATCTTCCTTTATGGGCATTACCCAAAGCCAAGACTAGTTCAAGTGGGGAAACAACAACTCTAGATCAGAGACCATATTTCTACCAAAAATTTCTGACTTGTTCTTCAGGGCACATCAAGGATTCTGTGCTGCTTCAGGAAAGTCAACTTAATGTGCCAAAGAGTCTCAGGCCACAACAGGATCTTTCAGGTGTGCCCCCCAAATACCATCTCCTGCCTGTCTTCCCTCCATTTTGGATTCAACAAGAAAAATCTTTTGCACAAGGTACATGTTGCTTTTGGGACTAGTGCTCAAATATTTGGATTTTAACACCTTAAAATGGATTTTCTGAAAATAAGATCTAGGGATTCTATGTTCCAGTGTCATCATCTGTAAAATGAAGGGGTTAGTCTAAACCAGCACTATCCAAGAGTACTTTCTGAAATGATGGAATGTTCTATATAGTGTCCAATACAGTAACCATCAGCCACTTAAGTCTAATGAGCACTTGATATGTAGCTACTACAATGGTGAAACTGAACTTTTTATTTTATTTAATTTAATTAATTTACATCTAAATAGCCATATGTTCTAATGGCTATATATATACTGTATTGAGCTGTGCATGCATAGACTCTATGTTTTAGATGATTTCTTAGGTCTGTTCTACTTGAATATTCTTTAATCCTTTGATTTTTTTGGTAGCAATATCATATGGGGGGAAAATAAGCTTTGGAGCCAGAATTGTTGTGGTTGTTCTGTCATTTACAAGATGTAGGAACTTTTTTTAAAACCAGTATCTCATATATATATATATACATATACATACACACACACACATACATATATGTATATCTTTATTTATTTTTTATGTGGTGCTAAGGATCAAACCCAGTGCCTCACACATGTTAGGTAAGTGCTGTATCACTGAGCTACAACCCCAGCCCAAGTTATAGGATCTTGAGCAAGTCAGTTCTCCTCTTTGAGTTTCTGTTTGCTCATCCCTGCAACAGCACATCAAGACCTACATGGTTACTGCACAGGAAATCATTGTGATCTGTCTGTAAACTGTTCTATACTACAGAGATTTACTGAGCTGTCACAGGCAGGCAGGGACACAAGGCAGTATAGAATAATAACTAAGCATGTGGCCATTATCACCAGGCTCCAAGCTAAATGACCTCTTTGGGTCTTGGGTTCCTCATTATAACATGGAGGTGACCAAATCACCTTTACTTCACAAGGTCATATGTAAGAGTTAAATGGGATAATTTAGTACCTCATACATAGTAAGTGCTCAATAAATATTAATTATAAACTGTCCCAGCTCTTGTTTTTTAAGTATAATTACTAACTGATTGCAATGCCCAATTGCACATAATCACAGGGGCCGAAAAAAATCAATGTTTTAAGAAGTAAACAGAGCTCAGAGGCTATAACTTGAAACCTGATTAATGTTTTCATTGGTTTTTAACCTTATCTCCCCTTGGCCTCCCACTCTTTGCCAAACTCTTTATCTGGAGAAGTAGCAAAAGTCCTGACTGCAAGCCCCAGGCCCCCCAACAATGAGGCAAGCCATTGGCCCAGTTGCTCACATTCCCTGCCTCCTTGGACTGCCCCTCTGTAAAATGCTAGTAAGGGTGTCTGCATTCCTTCCTCCCTGGCTGATGTAGAAAATCACAGGTGAAGACAGAGGGGAAAAGCTCCCCAAAAGCTCTGAATTGCTATCTGGATGCCCTCCCACCCACCACCCACCCCACCCCCCGCGCATATGTGAGATACAGAGAGACAGTTCTGTGGGCTTCTTTCAATAATTGAAACTTCCACTACTTTTCTTACAAACTGGTTTCTATTAAGCATAAACAAATGAGCTGGATAATGACATTTATGAAGATAAAATTCTTGTTACCATCACATAAATTGAGTTCACCTGAGATGTGGCCAAAGAGGCTGATGATTCTCTCTCCCCTACCACAATGCCCCTGTCCCAACTTAGACACTAATATGTTACCCAGTTGAGTGCAGGACCATTTGACTAGAGTCTCACTTTCTCCACCCTCAGAAGTATATCTGGCTCCAAGAAGGATGCATCTGTAGTCTGACTGGACCCCAAAGAAACATTCTAGAATACCCCAAAAGGTCTTCTTCAGTGCTGCACTCCAGTTGGAGTTGAGATCCCCTAGGGAGCAAGTCCAATGTGGCCTTGGGCCACCTAGATTGAGGAATCCCCAGGACTCATCAGGCTTCAAGCTTCCCTGGGCCACTAAAACCTGGGCAGACTTTGGAACCTGCACCTGTGTCACAGCCACCAACACTCTCTCAGAATCAGCATCAATCAGAGTAGGCTTCAGGAACCAATGGGCAGAGGCAGGTGAGCTGGAGGGGGTGAGCAGCTCCACTCATGAGCGTTCAGCTCTTGACCCAACACACAAGGAAGGGAATGATGAGGGCAGGTGAGGGTTGGGGAGCATAGAGGAACAGTGAGGCCGACTAAGGGAAGGAGGAGGAGCTCCCGGAAGTCTAGTGCTCCATCTCACACAGGGCTCCTGAAGGCTTCCAGAGCCCCTGATTGAAAGACAACCCTGCTTTGTTCCGCAGAGCTGCATGCTGGGAATGAAGGGATTGCTAAAGCTTGGCTCCAAACAAGGAAGGTTTGCCAGACAGTTTCAGCAATAAATCTACCTTGAGTAAGTGATGAAAATAGCTGCAGGACCCTTTAAACCATCGATGAAAGATTTGTTAACTATGCTGGAGTCATCTGTTGACTCAGATCCCTCCCAAGGGTTGCAGACAGGGTAAATCCAGAGAGCTGAGCAGCAGTCCCACCTCGCTGCACACCTAAGGGTTTTTTCCCCTAAGTAAACAACCGGGAGACACCCAGGAAATCCAGGAGCCTGCTGTAGACTGGAAGCATCTCTATGACAACCAAGCAAGGTTGCAGGTCACACCACCATAGTGCCACTGCTGAAATCCACAAATCCCGGGCAGCCACATTCATTATCTTATTTGAGCTCCAGACAGCTCTGCAAGGAAGTAAGGGCAAGAAATTAGTATCCTCACCTTGCAGGTGAGAAAACAGTGGTCAACAGAGCCTCTTCCCCTAGTCTCCTGACCCTGTTTCCAGCAATTGGCTGCCATTTCTATAGAAGCACTACCAGAAAAAAAAAAATAGAAGTAAAGGAGGAGCGGCAGGAGAAACAAGGGCTTTGACTACTTTTGCTCAAAGAAGCAAGATGGGGGGCAATTTGGAGATAGCAAAATCACCATGCCCATTTCTGGGGTTCTAGGCTGATCCACTGTCCACTCTTGCAGGTCAATGGGGCCTGGATGAAGAGGAAGCTGGGGCTGGTGGACACATGAACCAGGACTCTGTAGCCAAGAACCACAGTAGTCGAGAGACTCACTTGCTGCCACGTAGGAAGCAGCCCTGGCAGGAAGAGAAAACCCCAGCAGAGGTACCACTTTAATGAACTCTGTGTGACATGGTTGCAAACTTATGGAATCCTTCCTCTCTTTGCCATTTCTTGGGGTTCTCCAGAGAAGAGAAGAATGCTTTGATCAGTTTCTCAAAGTGTCACTTGATATATTCCTTGAAGAACACTGTCAAATATTCCTTGAAGAAAAGGGTTTTATAGCCAAAGACATTGGGGAAATGCTGCATACATCCTTTCAAGCAAAGTCAGAGGACACACTTAGATATGGAGCACTTCAGGCAATCCTATAGTGAAGTCACCAGCCTAACTTTATTTAACTCCAGATTTTCCAAATCATTGAACCACGGCTCCTCCCTTGGACTCTTCACCCCATCTGTAGCCTTATCTAGGAAGAAGAGCTCTTGGCTTTAAACATGGTACAAGAAATTCAACTAATTTTGAACTGAGCATGGTAGCACATGCCTGTAATCCCAGCAACTCAGGATACTGAGGCAGGAGGATCACAAGTTTGAGACCAGCCTCAACAACTTAGTGAGACCTTGTCTCAAAGGAGGTGTGGTGGCACACATCTGTAATCCCACAGTTTGGGAGGCTGAGACAGGAGGATCTCAAGTTTGAAGCCAGCCTTGGCAATTTAGCAAGGCGGTAAGCAACCTAGCAAGACATCCCCAAGAAAGAAAGAAAGAAAGAGAGAAAGAAAGAAAGAAAAGAAAAGAAAGAAAGGCTGGGGATGTGGCTCAAGCGGTAGCACACTCGCCTGGCATGCGTGCGGCCCAGGTTCGATCCTCAGCACCACATACAAACAAAGATGTTGTGTCCGCCGAAAACTAAAAAATAAATATTAAAAAAATTCTCTCTTTCTCCCTCTCTCTCTTTAAAAAAAAAAGAAAGAAAGAAGGCACTATGTCATTCTTTCTATCATTCTGTCTCAAAAATTAAAAATAAAATAAACATAAAAAGGGCTGGAGATGTGGCTCAGTGCTTAAGTGCCTTTGGGTTCAATCCCTGACACCAAAAAAAGAAGAAGAAAAAGAAAAGAAATTCAACTAACTTTGAATCTGAATGAATTCTTCTACAAAGTGGAACTATAATCATATATTTCTCACAAGGTTACTATGGGGATTAAATGACTTAAAATGTAGAAAACTTTGTCAACTCGAAGGCCTGTGTAGGGGAGTGGTATGAGATAACAGTTGTTCAGAGCAACATAGACATTATCTGCTCCCATCTTGAATAAACTTGTTTGATTTACAAGGTCATATGCCAAGGAGAATGTAAACGGGAGAAAGAGCCACATAGCTAAAGAAAGGAGAGGAGAGACATTTTATAATGGATAAAGGCAATGATACAATCACTTCATTTTTATTTTCATTTAAAAAACAATTTTTAAAGAAAGCACTATGTTGGGCTAGGGATATGGCTCAGTGGTTAAGCACCCCTGGGTTCAATCCCCAGTACCAAAAGAAACAAAGAACGCACTATATCATTCTATCATCAATAATAAAATGTTTCATTGTTACACACAGCTTTGTATGTCTTTCCAGCTTGCAAAACAAATTTCATCCTTAGAACCACAAGTCTAGCCACAGGGGCTGTGACAGGAACCTGTTCTGTTGCTTTGTGACAGCCTGTTTATAGTTCTGTGTATCTGTCGTTCCCTAGGACACATCAGTGGAGGATCGCCTTCATAGACATGCTTCAGAGGAAAGCCACAATGAAAAGACACAGCAAACCTCCAAGAAGGCGCTTGGGCATGCCTACGTCAGTCATTCCTGGCTCCTGAGTGACAAATCCCACATGACATTTTATGGAAGTGCCTTCCCCAATAGGAAGGCTGATCTCAGTGGTAAGAAACTAAAATTCTTGTCCAATTGATCCGGTTAAAATTAATTGTGCAGAGTTCACCTGAGAACACAGGCATGATGAATGTCACTTCTGTGTGCCACTCACCTTAGAAAATAACAGCCAGAGGGGGGGATACCTCCTTGTCTGGTACTTAACCATGCAAATTCTACAATCAGAATGCCTGGGTTCAAACTATCCCCCATTTACTAGCTATAATCCTGGGCAAATTATTTAATTTGGCTGAGGTTTAGTTTCCTCCTCTGTAGAAGGGGAATAATAATATTCCACAAGAGTACTGTGGGGATTAAGTGAGTTAATGCATAATTCTCTTTTCATAGTTAATGCTCAATATATATTAGTTATTATTGTTGTCATTCTCTCCATCACCTGACTCAGAACCCAACACAGAGAATGATTGGGACTCCCTGACCCTGACTCAGACAAAGCCTTGGCCATCTCAGTCCCCACACTCTCCCAGACTTTCTTCCCTTAAAAAAAAAAAAAAAGTGATAAAAGTTGAAAGTCAACTATCCATCTCCATACCTGTAGCTAATAGGTTCTCATTCTCATCCTGTTTCTACAGACAAACAAGGAAATATGAAATGGCACAGGGCCAGAGGGAGCCACTTGCCACAGGAGCTTCCTGCTGCAAGGTGCCTTCTCCCTCCAATAACATCTGCCATTGGCTCAGAACAAAACACCCCTGGGGAAGCAAAGAAAAAAAAGGTGTGTGTGCACACATGTGTGTGCCTGTGTTGTGTGTGTGTGTGAGAGATCCTTCTTTAGAAACAAGGTGACTCAAAAGGATGTCTCAATAGAGAACTAGCCTCTCTAGCTCAGAGCGCAGCAGGTAGAGCTGGGAAAGAGCTGTAGTAACTTCCTAAGTACTAAAAATCATCAAGATCAAGGAATCCAGCTGCCCCCAATTATACCTTTAAAGCATATGCTCTTCCACACTCTCTCTAGGGGCACCAGAATCCTTTGTTCTGTTAAAGGGCTGGGGATTTTTTTTTTCTTTCACTACTGGAGATTTAACCCAGGGTGCTCCACCACTGAGCTACATCCCCAGAGCTTTTTATTTTTTACTTTGAGACAGAGGCTTACTAAGCGGTCCAGGCTAAACTGGAACTTGCGATCCTTATGCCTCAGCCTCCCAAGCAGCTGTGCCACTGTGCACCCAGCAAGGACCTGGGGATTATCTTTAAACAAGTAAGGACAGAATTTGGCTTGTAAACAATGGACCCACTTCAAACTCGAAATGTGGGAAAACTTGACTCCAGCAACACTTTGCTCAATTGAGGGTCTGTCTACCTTTGCAAATATAGAGTAAATTTTGTAAGTTTATCAACCCCCTCCAGAAATCCATTCTCAGAGATGTCCTTGACCGTCTCTGGCCTGGTTCTGCCTTGCAATTCTATATGGGTCTTTGGTGGTTTTGCAGGCACCAGTGATGAATGGAAATGCTTAGGGGTTCCAGAATGTTCTGTCCCATAGCAGCTACGTGAATGAGAGCAGGTCATTTATGATATCAAAGCCACAATGACTTTATCTATATGCCTGGATAATGATGCCAATTTCACAGAGCTGATGGAAGGATGAGAACAGATGAGGAGAGAATCTTCTGTCTATACAGGAACTACCATGATTTTAATTAATTGTGAAGATTTGGGTAATCTAAAGTGGCCCTGAAGGATCTGTGGGCATTCAAGTGGTGCTAGTGCCCATGAGGGGCATCGTTTTTCATTCTACTCAGGTTTTTCTGTTTTCCTGTGTCTGAGCTGCTCTAAACCTCTCCACTCACACCAGAAGGGCCAAGAGCAAACAGCAGGTCTGACCTGCCAGAGTCACCACAAGTCTAAGGAAAGGCCTGGCTCTCACGCCTGGCTCAGGCCGGAACTAAGCTAGGCTCAGAGGAAAGGAGTTTCTTCCCTCAACCCAAGTATTCATTTAACAGAGGAGAGCAATATTTTCCACTATATTAAAACTCTGTGTGAATTTCTAATTAGAATAAAGAAATTAAGTCTTGGCTTGTCAACCATACCTCACACAAATAGTTTGAGTTTCCACACAGATTTCTCAATGCAGTCCTTGTCACACTAAATGCACAAGGTCAGTATTCACAAAAGGGCAGTTGGTGGGCAACAGGCACCTGGACAGGGAAGGTCTCCAGGAGCATAAAGATCTTATGTGCATGTGTTTGGTTAATCATTTTCTTAATGTCTCAAAATTATAAATATTATCCTGCATAAATTGGGTAGAATTTCCTTCCTCAATCAACTGGTAAGCATGTAGGATGCTTATGTGTGTTTCTGATCATTTTTTTCTTTTTACACAGTGAAAAAATGAGAATGTTTTTATTTTTCCTCCTGTGAAATCGAACTCTCTGAAGTCCAGCACCATATACATTTCATAGAGCCAAGTTCATACGTTAACAGTTGCAAGCTAAAAGTGAAATTTTCAACAACTTCTGAATAATTGGAAAAGGGAGACTGTAATACCCTTATTTTATCTCTCTCTCTCTCTCTCTCATAAATGTATAACATTTTTCCATCCATGTAAATGTGTATATTTTATATGTATATATGTAAGTGCATATTTACATATATATATATATATATATATATATATATATATATATATATACACACACACACCATGGTGTGTGTGTGTGTGTGAACAGAAAGAAATTGGGCCAAATTGTTGGTGATTCTGATACACATGATTGATGATTGTTTTTTAGCTATGTTGATATAATTGTGAAGCTTAGATTTTCTGCCAAAGGCCAGATAGGGTATTAAACACTAAAAATTAAAAAAGAACCTACTCTCAGAGAAATAGCATAGAAATAACCCTAATTCCAAACACTATTGTAACTACATATACTAACTCATTTAATCCTCACAACAACCTTAAGAGATTGGTAATATTACTTTTATCTCCCCCACACCTTACCTGTGATTGTACCCAGGAGTGCTCTACCACTTAACTACATCCCCAGCCCCTTTTATTTTTTTATTTTGAGACAGGGTCTTGCTTAGTTGCTGAGGCTGGCCTCAAACTTGTGATCATCCTGCCTCAGCCTCCCAAATCACTGGGATTACAGGCATGTGCCACTGTATCTAAATTACTTTTATTTTACAGAGGAAGACATTGAGGCTTAGAGAGGTTACATTAGGTAAACAAACACAAATACATATTCTTATATTCTGCCCCTTCATACCTGAAAGTTTGCAGTCAAACAATGTTCTGACCTGGCTTTGCCCCTTAACAATATATGTGGAGATTTCTCCTTCTCCGTACATAGAGGTCTCAGTGATATCATTTCAATTTGTATCAGTTTACCCAGCTTCATGAGAAAGAAAGACAATATATCCTCTCAAAACCTCTTAACTCTGTTGGTAACTCTCAGGATAATCGAAGGCAGGATACGGGCACATGTTATCCTCACAAGAGACAAGCCAAGCAGCCCCATTGAAGGCAGGAGCTGGATTAATTTGCCTCTTCCCCCAGCAGCTTCTGCAGCAAGATAGACAATAAGATACAATATTGTTTGCCCCCTGTAGGCAGCAGGGTTTGGAGACCTGCCATGTTGGTTTTGTGTTTAAATTTTTTCAGGCGCCAAAGGCTTTGAAATTACCCCCCATTTCAGAAGAACCACCCAGAGTCCCCAACCCCCTGAGGAGGCAATTTAAAGCTAATGAACCCCCAACAGAGCTCTTCATCATCCCAATGGAGATTCATTTCCACACCAAACACCCCCCAAAAGAAAAAGCCTGCAGAAGAGGTAGGTACCTTTTATGGGTGTTCCTGAGAGAACTCAGGCCTGCAACAAAGGACTGACCCTTGGGGTCCTCCTGCCAACAACCCACTCATGAATCAAGGCTGAACTTCCCAGGGTTATCCTCTTCAGATAAATTTCTTTAAAAGAAGTAAAAGGGGTAACTATAAAAATCTAGAATTGGGTCTCTTCTGGTCACATTTAATTGAATTTTTAAAATATTTATGGAGTCCTTCATTAAGCAGCGCATTTTGCTGAAGCAGGAAAGGAAACAAAGACAGGCATGCCCATAAACAGGTCCAGTGCACCACAGGTGTTATAAATGTGCAGGAATTTTCAGGCAGCGTGCAAAACAAAACAAATGCAATACAAAACGAGACATTTCTAATTGAAATTGTTTTTAAAAAAAACTGGTTAAAAGGAGCAGAAAATAGAAGTTATTAGACATCTGGGATGAAGTTATAGCTAACAACCGAATTTAGCAGAGTTTCCTGGCAGTCAAGGTAAAAATAATTCTTGGATCTTTGAGCCTTCATTTTATAAAACAAAGATAAAAGTTTGTCCAAAAAATCATTTTCATGATTTTGAATTAAGTTATTCGTTAACAGATGATGTCTACAATCCTTGTCAGGGCAGAGATTTTGTGCTTCTCAGCAAAAGTTTTTTTCTTTTCTTTATAAAAGGAAAAAGAAGGTTTATTGCCTTGCTAGCAAAAGAGAAACATTTAAGTATTTTCCTAGTTGTAGATGGACACAATATCTTTTATTTTTACGTGGTGCTGGGGATGGAACTCAGTGTCTTGTGGGCTAGGCAAGCACTCTACCACTGAGCTACAACCCCAGCCCTCGCCTCAGCCAAGTTGTAAGACATTATGTGCAAGTGAGAAATCAGGGGACTTAGGAAGGCTTGTGAAAAAGGTCTAGTGGATCTCTCACCCTGTGTCACATGGAGAAATTCTTTCTGACCTTCATAAGCCATTCTATAGAATGCTTGCCTCAAACAAGTTATTGCTTCTGGGACTTTATTGGGCAGTCTAAAGCAAAAGATGACTCCAGTATTGAGGGGTTCTGAACTTTCTAGAAACTTCATCAGAAACTGCCAGTGATTTCTTAAGAGAGTTTTGACTTCTGGCCATTTTGTTCTAAGGCTATGTGGAATTCTCACTGTGAAGAATGCCTAAATGTTTAGGATAAAAGACCAGTCAATGGAAGGGAGCATAAGAGAACTTTCTAGAGTGATGAAAATGCCTAAATCTTGGTTGGTTGTATAGACTGATACATTTGTCAAAACTCATTGAATTGCATACTTAAGATCTGTGCATTTCACTATTTGTAGATTTTACTTTAAAAAAAAAAAAAAAAGCTCCTTCCAACAACAATGACAGAACAGTGCTTGTAAATGTAGGTCTTATTCAGGTATGATGAGGCCAACAGATCAGAGGACAATTGCACTGAGAAGATGGTTCATTATTCATGGTTCCAAGAGAAGTGGGCATACCAGGACCTTTTAGGCCACATAGGGAAGCATTGGGGTTGGTCAGGCAGAAAGTGAGGGGCGGGGGTGGGGGTGTGAAGTGTCTTTATTATGACTTTTGCAGAAGGAATGTACAAGGCAGGGTGAGCAGGCTAAGCAAATTTAGGACTGGCTAGTTTAACTAATCCAGTGGGCCCTCGGATATAAGGGCTATCCCTGGTTGTCTGGTACTGGCTCTGGGGTGATTAAGGCAGGGAGATAATGACCCAGAAGGATAAGAGCTCAATAAAGGAGATAATTAGGTGTTAAGGACTCTGGATTGGTTGGTTTACATGTGACAGATACCCTCACAGGATAGTCATTTATTTTCTCTAGGAGTTGGCTAGCCTTGGGAGGGACAGTCTCCCCAGAGTCAATAGGCTCCAGATGTCAAAATAGCAAACAAAAGACATACTTAACATGAACAGAGAAAAGATTATCCACAAGAGAGGGTTAAATCTGATGTTTTTCCATGATGACCCTGGCAAGAAGGTTAGGAAGACCACCAGGCCATCATGAACCAAATTCTGAAAGCTATTAGGTACAGTGAGCTTAGCAACACACTGTCAAGTGAAAATAGGAATAGAGTATTAAGAAAGTAAATCCACTGAGTTCTTCTTTCCTTTACAAGAGGAATTTGAGGAACAGTGAGGACTCCTTCAGTTAGTAGAATCAGAAGCCTACCTCAAGACTGCTGTATTGGAAGAGAAGAAAGGAAGGGAGGGAAGGAGAGAAGAAGGAAGGAAGGAGGCAGGCAGGATCAGCTAATTCCAGGACCAATTGGACCTAGACCTCAGAAAATATCTGGGCAGCTCTTGGCTAAGTCTCTCAAGTATGTTACCTTCTCTCTTCAAGCAGGCTCCCACTTGTGGCAACAAAGATGTCCTCCTGCATTCCATGCTAACCTCCTACCTGCTTACCTTTATTAAATATATATATCAAAGCTCTTGCTGAAGTGCCAAAATTGCCTCTGATTGGCCAAGCTTGGATTATGTGCCCACCACCTCTACCCAAGGTGCGCACACAGATACACACCCCTCCCTCAGAACTAATCACTGTGGCTAAGGCAATAATGTCCGCCTGCAATCTAGGCTATAGTCATATGCCCAACTCTGGAGTCAGGGAACGGACAGAGCTCCACCCAAAGCACATGGCATGAGCCAGGGAGGGATGGGTCCCCCAAAAGAAGAGACACCTGGCAAAAACAATGGCCATCTACTACAACTTGGCTTTCTCTTTGTCTCCTAGGTGCTCCATGCCCTGAGTCAGAACCAGAAACAGAAGAGGCCAGGCCTTTATGGAGGCCTCCCCTGAAGCATGCATCATTACAAAGGCCAATGGCCATAACTGTGCATCTTCCAGTGGACACAGGCAGGGACACGCCCTCTCCATCAGGTAGCTCCTCCCTCCCTCCAGCATCCCACAGGAATCTCACCCTGAAGGGAAGCAAGGCAAGACACACAAAGGCCCTCAGCCAAGAAAAAGAAGGCTGGAAGGGAGGTCAGTTCATCCCCAAGCACTTGAAGATGGCTTTTGTTCAGGCAGCAGCTGCCTTAACCAAAGTGCTTTGGTACAACTAACTTAGTATCTAGCTCACAAATTACTTACTCACTAAATCATCCTTCTATAATATTTTCCGGTTGCAGATGTAAAATGGCACCAAACTCATTAAAAATATGATGTATGCCATATAGTTAATTGTTTTTAAACAATGAAATTTCAGTTTTAATCTGTTTATGGAAATGTACTTGTTTGTTAAAAAGTCCAAAATATCAATGAAGATCTTCATGCTAGGCTTTCAAAATATTATATGGTCTTTGGAATTATACACATGCATGCAGCTAAGTGTGTATTTTAATGTGTTAGATAGGTTGGAAGTGATGGACCATATTTAGAAAGCTCCCCATTTTCAGAAAACTGAGCCTTCTTTTCAAGAGGCATGTGCAAGATAACACACTCACAATGTCAAGTGATCTCTGACTAGTAAAGCAGGAAGAGAAGAATGCACATTAAGGATGTATGTCCTTCTCCCTCTGTACCAATCACTGTTCTTGGTTTTTAACATGTATTATCTCAGGCACTCCACAACAATTTTATATGTTCATTTTACAAATCAGAAAACAGAAGCCCTGAGAGATAAGTAACTTGTTTGAAGCCACACAACTCCATGTGGCCTTGCTGGGATTGGAACTCGGATTTTCTAGTGCCAAAATTCAGATTTTCACCCATTACATTGCACTGCCTTTTAGAATAAATCCATCAATAAACTTGGCTCAGGACATTTTTGAAACATGTAGGTTTTAAGAACATCCTCTGACTATTGGGGCAGAGGCTTATTTAGTATGTTATGTGAGCATTCATCATCCTAAAGACTTTACAGTTTCCTTTATAAAATATTAAAATGTTAGTAAGGGTCACTCTGTGTGCAAATAGTTAATAAAGCAGCTTTCTACCTATGGGTACCCTGTCGAGTGCACAGCCAGAAGTGCTGCAATAGTCATTTTTTTTGTTGCTGTGACCAAAATATCTGACATAAACAACTTAAAGTATGAAAAGTTTATTTGGGGCTCACAATTTCAGAGGTTTCGGACCATGGTCTTCTAGCTCCATTGCTCTGGACCTGAGGTAAGGCAGAATATCATGGTGGAAGGGTATGTCAGAGAAAAGTTGTTAGCTCATGGCAGCCTGGAAGCAGAAAGGAAGAGAGAAGAAAGGGCCAGGGACGAGATCATCCCTTCCAGGGCAGCTCCCAGTAATCTACTTCCTCTAACCAGGTCCCACTTCCCAATAACGTGTTCAAATTAAATGATGAGGGCTAGAGCCCTCGTGATCTAATCATTTTCTAAAACTCCCACCTCTGGACATTGCTGCCTTAAGGAAAAAATCATCCCATATATGAATCTTTGAAGGATATTCCAGATCAAAGCTATAACAGTCACAAGATAAATGACAACATGGGCAAGTTCTGTCTTCAGTATGGTTCATCTTGCACTGCCCTCTGCTAGTTGTGAGCTGCCATATCCACTGAGCAGGGGCTCAGTATCTACAACTTGTCCATCTCCTACCAGCCTGCCAGGCAGAAGTTAATAAGTATCTGATACTTGGATGTGAGTTAGTTCAGTATGTGACCTAACCCAGTAGTGGATGCATAAAGAAAGGGATCCAAAGAAGCAAGTTTTTCTTGGCACTCTGCTCATACCCTCATGCAAGGGTATGTGGCAATATTTACATACACATACATACATTCTTAAGTACATATACTTACTTACATACATGTAGTGCTATTACTAAGCTACATCCCCAGCCCTTTTTATTTTATTTGAGACAAATTCTCACTAAATTGTCCAGGATGGGCTTGAACTTGCAAACTGCTTGCCTCAGCCTCTTGAGTAGCAAGGATTACAGGTATGCACCACCATGCCTTGCAGCAAGGGCATTTAGAGCTAAAAATTGGGACTGTCCCATGGACACAGAGATTGCACATGCCCATATACTTGTTTAGCCCTGGATTATTTCACCTTTAATAGCACAGAAACCAATGTTCATATCTTCATATTCACACAAACATATTTTATTTTATTGTCAAACCATCTGGGAGCAAGTTCCAGACATTGTGTATCTTATTCCTTATCACTACATATCTCCTAAGAGAAAGAAAGTTCTCTTCCTAACTACAATTATCACACTCAAGAAAAGTATTATTAACGTAATTCTATTTTCTAATATACAATCCACATTCAGATTTCTCTTTTTATACTAGTAATATTCCTTACAGATTTTTGTTTTTCCAATCCAGAATTCAACTCAGGGTCATGCATGACACTTAGTTGTCATATCTCTTTGGAATTTTTTAATAGAGGAGTTCTTCAGACTCTTCTATGATTATCAACATTCTTTTTTTAAATTTTTGTAGCTGCAGATGGACACCATATCTGCATTTTATTTATTTATTTTTATGTGGTGCTGATGATTGAACCCAGTGCCTCACACATGTAAGACAAGTGCTACCACTAAGCTACAGCCTCAGCCCTGATTATCGACATTCTTGAAGAAGATGGGCCAGTTGCCAGAATTACCACCCAGTTGGTCTGTTTCCTCATAATGAGATTCAGATTCAACATTTCTCACAGGAATATCACATAGGATGTAGTGTCCTTCTCGGTGCATCACATCAAGGGACACAAAATGTCAATTTGCTCGATTATAGGTAATGTTAAATTTCATTGCTCAGTTAAAGATGCTGTCTGCTAGATTTCCATTCTACAAAGATTCTTTTTCTCCTTTGTAATAAATAAGCAGTCTGTGATATTTTGAGACGGTATGGGAAGCCAGCTTTTAAACCCCAAAAGTAACAGTTGTGTTGGACGTGAAATAAACATCACTCTCTCTGAAAGATGAAGCCAAAGCTCAGTCACTTAGGTTCCTGGGTTTCAGCCATCGTAGCCCAGTCCCTGTGGGTTATGAAAAGAGAGAAGAGAGGTGGGGGTATGATGTACTTTCTGGAGTGTTATCATCAATCCTGTGACCCTCTGACTATCCTCTAGAGGGTGGTACCATTGGCCATCCATTTCTCTGGGTTCCAAATCCATACCAACCACAAATCAAAAATAATAGCAAAATACATATATATCTGTACTGAACTCAAACATTTTTCTTTCCATTATTCACCAGATGATACAGTATAACTACTATTTGTGTATCATTTACATTGTATTAGGTATTATAAGTAATCTAGAGATAATTTCAAGTATATGAGAGGATGCATGTAGATTCTATGCAAATACTATGCCATTTTCTATAAGGGACTTGAGAATCTGAGGATCTGGGTATCCAGCATGTCCTGGACACTAAGGGGCAGCTTTACTTCCTACCTTACATATCATAAGTATGGAATGTGACCATTGGCTCCACCTAGAAAAATCATTTTGTGGTCAGAAATCTGTATCCAATAATCCCATGACCTCTAAAGCTGGGGTCTCCCTTGTCAGAGCCTTCAGATTGGGGGTGGAAGGAGTCTGCAGCATCTCTAGTCCTACTTCCATCTCAGGATCCCACCCATAAGATGAGAATAACAAACACGGAGACTCAATTCCTCCCCAAATGAAGGGCAATTTCATCTTGGCTATGGGGGATATCTGGTCCCCGTTCTTTATCGAGATGGGAAAAGAGAGGAACTTGAGGATTAGTGGCTACATCAACCTACGCATCAGGAACTAACAACCAAGTTAGGAAAAGAGATTCGCTCTCCCTCTGCTGATGCAGAAGCTCTCACTCCTGTTTTTCCCCTTCTACTTTTGAAGATGACAGTGTTCTATCCCTGAATGTGAAACCACCACTGGACCTTCAACCCCTGATTAGAGAAAGGAAATGGCGGGAGAGTCAGGGGGACCGGGACAGCCTCCAGACATCAAGCTGCAGCAGCCCCACAGGCACCCCAAATGTGAGGACACTAGCAACAGGACAAGGTACTCATTCCTGGGATGCATGGATCCCCCTCCCTGGTCAGCTTGTGGGTGTTTCACACTCAGGGCTGCATGGCAATGTCAGTTCGTCATTGAAAAGGGGAAATCAGCAGTGTTCCTCTCATGTCAGTGGGATTAATGTTCACGCATCCTAAAGAGTGGGTACATGTTTGAGGGTTTGTTGCACCAACACGTACAGCCAAGCTGTTTAGTGCTTTCCTCACCCTGGCAGCAGCGGGTGATGACGCAGCTCGGGAGCTCCTGGGAGAGGCACACACCACAGGCATACTCCACACCCAGTCATAACCTATCCCCGAGGTAAGAGACCTTGGGGACCCTGCCCATAGCAAGAGTCCTCAGAAGCCACCTTCCAGCCTAGGCAGTCACAGAGAGGAAAAAACCCTGGCTTTCGACTGGAGGGTGAGGCAGGGCAAGACCACGCCCCCCTATGATTTAGCCTGCTTAAAGGTCTCATCCTGAAGGAGCCTGGAGACTCGATGCTTAGCCAAGTGCACCAGTGCAAGGGCAGTGCAGTAGCAGTGACCACAGGAGCTCTCAAGTTAGCTCACAGAGCGAAGATTGCTGAGTCCCCATCACCCGCCAAAAATCCCCAGGGAGGTGCCATGCTGGAGACTGACAGGCCACCATCAAGAAAGCACAGCCCAGCCAGCTGCTCCTTCACTGCAGCCCCGCCCCCAACCACTTGGGAGGGGAGGGACGACCAGATGAAGAGGCTGGCAAGTGTTTGGGGACAGATTGTGCAAAGAAAGGCTGTGAGAAGCTCACACTCAGTGGATGTGGGACTGAGAGCCATCAGGAAGATGACAGATAGCACTCTTGCATTTCAGGCTCACTCAGGGACCCAATGCCTCTCTATTTAAATATTCTCTTTCTGTCTCTTTATCTCTTTTCTCTCTCCCTCCCTGCCCCCTCTCATTCTGACCCCAAAGCAAGTATAGTTAAATTCTTTTGTTTGTTTGTTTGTTTGCTTGTTTGGTTTGGTTTGGTACCAGGGATTGAACGCAGCACGCTTAAACACTGAGCCACATCCCCCGTCCTTTTTGCTATTTTATAGAGAGACAGGGTCTTGCTGAGTTGCTAAGGACCTCATTAAATTGCTGAGGCTAGCTTTGAACTCATCATCCTCATGCCTCAGCTTCCAAAAGAGTTGAATTTTTGTAAATATAAATTAAATATCTAGATCAATAACTCCATTCTGTGTTTGCAGCTTCTCTATTTAAGGCTGAGATGGTCAAAATACAACCTCTTCCTCCCCACAATCCCCCACACTTACTCTTTCTCTCTCCCCCCCACAAAACCACCTCTGACTGGAGCCTTCTGCTTTATGCTGGTGTGGCAGCCCTGGTCTTCTGATTCTAAGGCAAATGAGCCAGGCTTGAAGGGCTGTCCTGTCAGCACCTAGGACCATCTCGTGGAGGTCCTATCGTTCAGGACAGATCACAACAAACAGACACACACCTTCTCTTGGACAGCCTTATAAAGGGAGAGTTCTGACTGGAATATATGCCATGGCCATGACAGGGACAAGAGGGCAGCCTGAAGTCTCAAGTGTGTGTGCACGTGTCCAGGTGAATGTGTGTTGTAAGCACGTGTCTCTGAGTGGTGGTGTGTGTGTGCTTACATACCTGTGTGGTGTGTATGTGTACTTGTGTGCATCCATGCACACTCATGAGTGACTTTGTGTCTATAGATGAATGCAGGCCTATGAATGAGTGCATGTTTCAATATATGTGTGTCTTGTTCATGTGTGACACATATGTATATATGTGTATACGTGTGTATGGGCATGCATGCCTGTGTGTGTGGTTGTGCATGTGTACATGTTTGTCTTATGACTGTAAACATATATGCATGTGTGCAAAAAATATGTAGCTCTGTGTGAACATGTGTGTGTTGTGCCTTGGTGTGTGTGTGTGTGCGTGTGTGTGTGGACATGTGTGTGTGTATACTCCTAAGCACTCTAGCTGGAAGCCTGCCCTACCCCGATCCCTTTGCATTGGAGATGGGGAATACAAGTGTGGTATAATATGAACTGTATTCGGTCTTTGTCACAGAGCTAAAACCCCTGGAATTTCCAGCTTGATAGGAGTATCTTATTCATAGGGAGACCCTTTGATAACAACTGAGTTTATGCTAATGCAGTGGCTTAGGGTAGGCCCCACAGATAACCTCAGAATGGGGCCAGACACCAGAAAGACCAAGTAATTATGGGATTAGAAGATTGGAGCTTTCTGCCCCACCCACCAGCCTCCAGAAAGAGGGGAGGGATAGCGCTGGAGATCAAGCTCTCAAAGAGGGTTGATGAGCTTCTGACTGCTGAAAGTAGGGGTGTGTGAGGTAACATGCCCAGAGAGAGCATGGAAGCTTGGCACGCACGCCCCTGCCAGACCTCACCCTATGCATCTCTTCATCTGGTATTTACCCCCAGCTTTTACATCTTTTATAACAAACCAGTAAACTTAAGTGTTTCCTTGAGTTCTGTGAGCCAAGGAGCAAAAATATTATGTTCATGGAGGGAGTCAGAAGCACAAGCCACCCACTGGGATGTTCGATTGGTATCTGAAGTAGGAGCAGTCTTGTGGAACTGAGTCCTCACCCTGTGGGAGCCATCGCCAGGTAGATAATGTCAGGACTGAACTGAGTAATAGGATGCCAAGTCGAGGTCTGCTAGAGAGGTGCTTGGTGTGGGGAAAAAAACCTTCATATATCTGGTCACAGAAGTGTTCTATGGTGAATGTGAGAGTAGAGTAGGTGAAAAGGGTTATTTGGATTCTTGTTTTGTTTTTTAATTAATTTATTTACTTTTGCCTTTATAGTAAGGTTATAGAGACACCTTCATTCTTTTTAAGTAACTGAAGGAAACATGGCTTCCTTCTGCTCCTTGGCCTGAGTCGCTGGAATGCCTAAGCAGCTCCAGCATTTGTGTCCAGATGTCAGCTAATCAGGCTGAGTGCTGCCCAGAGGCATCTGAAGGACAGGGAAAGCAGAGGCAGAAGTCACCAGCCCCATGCCTAGAGGCTAGGCTATACAACCTGGAGAAAGGGCTTCCTTCCTGTCACATGAGGTGCCCCCAGAAGCCTTGCCCTGCCGCCAAGAGGCCAAAGAGACTACCTTCTCTGGACTCTCACAAAGGCGTGATAGGGGTTTGTGGCTCCCCTCCTTATTCATCCCTTCTTGACCCCCAGAGGACAGGGCCTAAGCAATGGCTCTGCTCCTCCACCTCCCAGGTGTAGGGCTTACCCTGGACTCTGGCAGGCACCTGAGCACACCAGCAACTGCGACCATGTACCCACCAGGGATTAGGGGAACATAACAATACAGGTTCAGCCTCCCTCACCCACACTGGGGTTAATGTTGCCCATGCTTATGCTTATTTTCAAGAAGATTCCAGAGATCCCACACTGGGGCGCTTCTTGCTGGGTCCAGATGGAGAAAACATCTGCCCTTCCCTCCCAGAGCCCACCGGAACCAAGGCTACTGCCAGGTCGAGAGTGAGCTGACATATCCCAGGTCAGCCTTGGCTTCAAAGGGAAAGATTTTTACCTGCAGCTTCCAAAATTCCACAGCAGCAGAGACATCATTAAAAACAGACACAAGTCAGCCGGTTTCTCCCCTCTCGCTGACACAGAGGTGCTTCTGTAGCTCAGACACAATAACCCTATGTTCACATAACAAGTTCACTCTTGCTGGAGCATCTGGAGAGAGGAGTTCCAGAGGAATGGTTTGGAAGAGGTCTACTGTGCCATACTGATGCCCTGATGGGGATGATAAAGCCCTTTTGGTATTTGCCCAAACTAAACACTGCCTTTTCTCTTCTTTCCAACCACTCTCCAGAGGTGGAGGTGGCTAATTGGTAATCCAATCAGGTATCCTTGTCATGTGTGTTGGTTCATTGCTGTGAATCATCTGGCTCCTAACAGATAACAAAGCAGTTTCCAAAACTCCTCCTGGCACACTCACTTTTTGGAAAAGAGATGCTGGCTCTGGGCAGTAACCATTTTGCAAAAGGAAAAAGACAAAGTCAGAGGGTGTCAACCACCCTGAAATTTACATGATGTGTCCATATGAGTTGTGCAGCCAGCAGGCCCCTCAATGAGGGAGAAGAAAAGCTGCATTCATTTGGTGGGTTATGCCATAACTGACTTAATAAAAATTAAAAAAAAAAAAGTGTGGAATTAAAGCCAGGAGATTTGAGTCACACTGGCTTGTCCTCTATGTGGCCAGATGACTTTGGGTCATTCCCTCATCCATTCTCTGTCCATGGTTCCTGCATCTGAAGTGAGAGAACTGACCTCCTTGCCACCAAGAAACCCCCTGACTTGCTGCCTTTTACAACCTGGGTCTGTTGCTATTGCAGTAACCACCTAGTATGTGGATTTCCAGAAAATAGAATGTGCTTGGTTCCAAATTCAGTGTCAAAGAACTTCCATCACTGCTCTGGTTATATGAGATGAATATAAAAATATCTTGGAATATCTTGGTTCTGAATTGGTGGGAACAGGAGTGAAACAGGTGGAGGGGACTGCCCGTGTGGCACAGCTGGTACAACAGCTGGACAGCAAATGTGATTCTGTTCACCTGCTGCACATTTGTCCACTGTGTTCCAGAAGACATAGATAGTTTCCCTTTTGGCAAAGCAAAAGCCAGAAGCAGAAAAAGAAATATTTGGGCTTCGGTCACTTCAGTATTCCCAGCACCTAGCACAGTCCCTGACACATAGATTTTTCAAAAGAAAAATCTTTTGATAATTTCCAGTAGAGAGAGAAATGAAATTTGTGCTGAATAAATGGAGACTTGTCTCCATTTTGTCCCAGTCCCATGGACAATACATTTAATCCCACTTGCCTCTCAAATCCAAAGGCATTCACCACGTGTTTGTTGAATGAATGAGCTGATCCAATAATCAATTTGCTCAGTCAGTCACTCACTTCTTTCTTGTCTGTCTTCCATATACAGTTGGTTGACCTTCAGCCTTACTGGTGATTGGATGGTCCCCTGGAAGGTGGGGGAAATTCTTAAACCCACATCTTCCTACAGGGATCTACAGGACAAGTCTAGCTTTCTAAGAATTTCTATTAAGGGAAAAGGTTGTTTGTTTCTTTGGGGAGAATTGGTTTTTTTGGTCTGCTTTGGTTAAGTTTGAGAAGTATACTGAAAACAAAACTTTTCCCTCTTACCCAGAATCTGCTCAGTTTGTTCAAATCCATCTCCATCACCATCTCCATTCTTCCCTTCCCATCTCATCTCCCCCTACATTCCAGCTCACCCTTTTCTCATCTCTTTAAGGAGCCCATTTGGTCTCCATTCTTTTCTCTCCAAGCCTTTACCCAGATCATCCCCCAAATATCTACTATAGCTTTATCTATTCTAGGACTTTTTTTTCTGAATAAATCCTCATCTCATACAACTGCCTCCATGTAGCCTTGGCCCATTCCTCTCACTCTATCTCACTTCTGTGATGTCTGTATTTGTATTTGTCTGCATCTGTTTTCTGTTTAGCTCCCAAATATAGGAGTCCTATATATTCCTATATAGGGAACTCTTTTTCTTTATCGTATGTCCAAGAAATGCTTGTTGATTGACTGAATACTCCAGGTGCCATAAAGGAAAATTCTTTGGAGATCATGGTTTTTATTTTTTTAATTAAAAAAAAATAAGTAAAGGAGGGAATATGATCTGTCTGATCTTTCTGAAACTTTCAGACTCTGTCAACAACTATTTGGAAATAAATTCTTAGGCAATTAGATCATGATCTCTTGCTTTCAGACAGCATCAAGAGATGAATATTACCTTCAGAAAAAAAAAAAAAAGATGTGAAGACTAGAGCTGGAATTTGACCCTCTTGGTCATGTTGGGATGTTGCAACACTTAGAAAATTCAAAGGCTTAAGAAAGAAAAAGTCAACTTGGACGGATATGAGTCAAAACATTGGATTTGCTTTCTGAATTGCTTACCCCTTGATTCAAATCCTTCATCCATTCTCCTGGTCACAGTGCCAGCAATAGACGTTTTCTCTCAGAAGTTCTTTTATTCAGAACTTTTTAATGCAAGAAGTTCAAGAATGTTTGTGCCAAGGATTCAGACTGGGATTTCAGGTCTGTGTAAACTTAAATTCCTGGTCTCTTCCAGAGTTATAATTAGCATTTGCCCTGTCCTAAATAGATTTTTTTTTTTTACTCCCAAAATGTTTCTTGTTTTATTTTGTTGTTGCTTGTCTATTTGTTTGTTGTCATTTAACTAGCATCCTTTCCCCTTGCAACTCTTCCCTGGTGTGTGGTTTCAACACATGTCCACAAATTCTTTGACATTTCTCAGCTTCTGGGGAGGGTCTCCTGCTGCATCATAACATAATGGAAGGGAAAGCAAGTGAGTGCCAGAGAGACAAGGGGATTGCCTCACTCAATAACAACCCACACTCACACTAATAGAGTCCTTCAAGAGTGAGAACTCACTCTTTTGCTTGGGTCCCATAAGACAGCAGAGCCCTCATGACCAAAACACTTCTTGAAGATCCTACCACCTCTCTTTTAGGGATCAAATCTCAACATAAATCTTGGTGGGGGACAAACCATTGTGGAATCACAAAGGCCTTGCAGCTTTCTCCTTGCTTAGATTATTCCTTCTGGAGAAAGATAACCACTGTGTCTGCCAAGAGGCCACTCTAGCCATGTATGGCAAGCAGTCCACATGGCAAGGAACCGAAGCCTCCTGCCAACAGCAGAATGAAATTTTCAGCTCTGCAAGTGAGCTGCCTTGACAGGAGATTCTGCAGCCCCAGTTAAGTGTTCAGATGACTACATCCCTGGCTGGTGGTGTAACTGTGACCTCATGAGAGGCTAAGCCAGAATCCCACTCCTACACCACTCCCAGATTCCCACCAAAAAGATGAGATACAACACAGGTTTATTGCTCTTTGTCACCGGGGTTTAGGGTAATTTGCTTTATGGTAATAGACTAATATATTTGGTGTCATTTCCTGATGGTCTATGATTTGGTAAACAGAAAGACCAAGGGTCTGAGAATATCCCACCTATCTCTAAACAATGATTATTTGGGGACAAACATATGCTCAGTAGTTGACTTTCTGTTCTCCACTTTGTCATTTGTGATAAGTTGTGGGGTCCCCTTGGGAGGACCTACCATGTTGGTAGAATATTTGATAAAGTATGATTTTCCTTGAGAAGCCTGTCTCATAGCAGCTATTGTCTTAAAGGTGATGCTTAGAGATTCAGAGGAGAATTAGATGAGACCATGTGAGGAAGAAAAAAGAACTCTGGACTGAATGTCTAAAGTCTTAGGTTTTATTTCCAGTTCTACCACCTGTGGTTTCTGTGATCACAGGCAAATCACTTCTTTCCTTTGGACCTCAACTTTTTCATATGGAAACAGAGAAGTCGGTATTACATCCAATCCTCACAGCATATGTCCTATGGAATAAATGCCAGTGCCTCAGAAGGGAAGGGTTCTGGGGTCAAATCCATTTGGGAACCAGTGGACTAAAGTTAAACAGACTCCTTACAAAGGACTTCATAGAATCTCTCATCTGCTAATGTGAATCATGGTTTTTCAGATGGGGATATGCATCATTTCCCAAACTTATTTGACCACTGAATGCTTTTGTTTTCAGCAACGCATCATGTGAATCTAAATTGTTTTTGGAACATACTTTGGAAAATGCTAAACTGATGATTTCTAAGGTTCCCTTCCAGTTCTAATAGGGTATGTTTCTAAATATGCCCCTTCCCCAAGGAGACTCTCAGTGGGGGCAGTTCTGCTGTCTAAATCCTGAAGCAGGATCTCAGTCATTCACTAATTTATGATTGTTCTTATTCTATAAATATTAGTTCTGAATCACAGGGTCCACAATCCATCCACCTCTAGGTGGGAAGAAGTAGAGAAAGGTAGAGGAGGTCTATGTGGTAATAATTTACATTGTTCTTTTTGCCCAGTGTTTCTTAATAATGCAATAATGTTGGCAGATGTTACCAGTTCTACTGATTTTAGGTCAAATGTTTGAATAAATGAAAACATGGCTGATATGATCATTGGGCACCCAGCATTTCCTCCCAGTGGGCCTTTCTGTACAACAGATGCTAGAAGGCTAAAAACTACATTTCCCAGATAACCTTTGCAGCTAGGCAAATTACGTTCTGCCAATTAGATGTGCTTGCTTGAGATTTGGAGAGCAGAAGTGAGGCAAAGGTGTCCAAGTCTGGGGCTACTTAAGCTGGCGTTGAGCTCATGAAGACTGAGCATGACTAGAAGCAGTTGCTGCTACAGAGCTTTTTGGGTTTTGTTTTGTTTTTTTGGCGCTGGGGATTTAACCCAGGAGTGCTTCATCACTGAGCTACACCCGCAGTCCGATTGATTAATTGATTGACAGATTGAGAGAGAGAAAGACAAGGTCTCACTAAGTTGCTGAAAATCTCACTAAATTGTGGAATCTGGCTTTGAACTGGGATTCTCCTGTCTCAGTCTTCCAAGTCACTGGGATTCTAAGTTTGTGCCACCACACCAGGTTCTGCAGCAGCTTTTTGACCCAGTTTATTCCAAAAATATGTGGGTGGTTTCTGTTCTGCACTGAACCCTAACCAATAAGCTCTTCTTACAGAAATTATGGAAGATTCCCATCAGCCTCTGTATGGAGCTAAATTGGGTCAGTCACATGTACCATAGTGTTGAGTGATGGCAAAAAGGCCAGCTGTAACAGTGTGTTTGTCCCAGACTCTAGAAAGAAGCAGGGTTCTTTCCCCTGTCATAGAGAAACCAGGAAGGCCTCCAAAGCCCACATTGAAAGGTGTCCAAATAGCCACCAGCAGAGTAGCTAAAAAAAAAATTAGGGCTCTCCTTCCTTCCCTTTGACAAAAACCTTGTGATTCCTATAAACACAAAGACTCCTGACCTCATATTTAACTGAAAAGGTACCATCATCACCACTTAACTTTCAAAGAAGAAAAATGTCAAAAATAATAGTTTGTTCTGAATATACTAGAATTTCTTTTTTGAATAAAAAGTTTACTAAAAAGGATGAAGCATATTTGTCTTTATTTTTTGCAGAGGATATATTCTTTTTACAGAGCATATGAAGTTAGGAATTCTACCTCCCCTAGTTTTGTTCTGTTTTGGAGAACTCTAAAGTCAAGAGGGACCTTGGAGCTGGGCAAGAATGGTGCACGCCTGTAATCTCAGCAACTCAGGAAGCTGAGGCAGGAGGATCATAAGCCAGCCTCAGCAACACAGTGAGGCCCTAAGCAACTTAGTGAGACCCTGTATCAAAACAAAGAATTAAAAGGGCTGGGGGTGTGGCTCAGTGATAAATCTCCCCTGGGTTCAATGAGTAGTACCAAAAGAGAGAGAGAGACAGACAGACCTTGAGCTTCACTGTCATTAGCATTGATGCAAAGGAAGCATTTAATCAGACTTGCTCAGACACAAATAGATAAAAACAAAAAAGCAGAGCTGTTTGAATGAAGTGAGGATGGTCCTATGTCTCTCTTAACCTGTCCATAGTCTAGCTAAATCTTCCTCTCGTAAGGCGTTCTATGGAGGGGGTTGGGGAATGTCCGTGCAAGGTCTCTAGAGCTAGAAGGCCATGATCAAAAAACTCTCATTTTATGGATAAGAAAACTAAGGCTCAGAGAGGTGTGATTTGCTCAAAGTCATACAACTTATATATGGCAAATCTGGGGTTCTGTGCTTAGTTAGGTGAGAGGTCTTCCCACAACATCACACTGCCTCTAGTCCCTCCTGTCCATGCTTTGAGGCTTCCAGAACTAGCTAAAGTCTCACCTTCATAGTGACACCTGACCTGACCTCCCCAACCACATGGATTGTTATGAGCTTAGGTTCCATACAGTATGACTGTCTGAGCCTCTTACTAAGCACTCCCTCACTTTATCTTTTTTTATCCTTTTTCTTCTTTCCTCTTCTAGATTTAAAACTTTGGTTGGTAGACTCCCTTTCTTTACTTCTGAATATCCCAGAAATCAGCTGGTACTCACAGAGCATTGCCCATAAACATTGATAAAAACTGTTAAGTAGTAGAGACTTTAATTGTTCCCCAATACCCATTCTTCCATTATTCCATTTATTAATAGTATCTCTGTCCTTGAACTTTAACTGAACACATGGCTACCTAAAGATGATTTCTCAACATCCTTTGCAGATTTTCCATATATAAGTTGTAAAGTGATTACATTTTGACTAATGAGATGTGAATGGACGTAATATGTGCTACTTCCAGGTCATTTCCTTAAAAGAAAACCATTTGCTCTGCCCCTCCTCTTTCTGCTTAGTTTTGGTTGACTTGGGGAAATAGCTTTAACCATGGAGAAGAAAGTCATACTCAATGGGTTAATGAGGCAAAAATATATAAGGAGCCAGGGAGCCCAGGTAACTTCATAGAGCAAAACCATCCTGATCTGCCCATCTACTTCTGGGCTCTTATGCAAAAGAGAAGTAAATGTTTATTTTGGCAGGGGGGAGGAGGTCATCTTGTAACCGCAGATTACCTTGTACCTTAACATGATCTGCTGGTCTATGTCATGTTGATCTGTGAAAATCAAACTAGTTCATACCTACACTCCATCTTGTATTAAGTAAAATTCCAATATGAAATTATCACTGGGCCTAAAAGAAGAACGCCCATTACATATGTTTGACTCCTTTGATGTAATGTTCTGAACACCTACCATGTGCAAGGGATTCAAAAGGATGTTAATATTGAGAGTGAGGGGCTGGGATTGTGGCTCAGAGGAAGAGCGCTTGCCTCGCATGCGTGAGGCACTGGTTCGATCCTTAGCACCACATAAAAAAGTAAAATAAAGATACTGTGTCCACCTATAACAAAAAAAAATTTAAAAATATATATTGAGAGTGAACCTTCTCAGGCCCTATGCTACATTAGTCATCCCATTTTGTCATTTCAATAATCCTAAGAAGTATTTTAATTCACATATCATTGGTGAAGAAATTGGGACACAGGTAGATAAGTTACCTGGTAAGGGGAGAGCTGGAATTCCTTCCTAGGCCTGTCTGTGCTTTCCTTACTCAACTCCCCAGGACGCTGCACCAGTACTATGGCTAATACCCTCAGAGACCTCACAATCTGTGCAAGAGAACAGATTCACAGGCAACTTTCTCTGCCACAAAGCAAAAGGAAATGCATCTATAGAGGAGGACTAAGCAACACAGTTCAGGGTTGCTCAAAGAAGGAGTGAATAACTCCAGCTTAGGAGACTGAGAACAGCTTTGACAAAGCAATCCTTATTTGCACTGACCTTTGAGAAATTAGTATAAGTAGAAAAACAGAGAAGGGGAAGGAACAACACAGCCCACTCAGAGACCCACATGAACAAAGATAAAAAGAGGCAGGGACATAGCAAACATGTGGGAAATGAGTAGTGGCCCAGTGTCAGTGGACCACAGAGGCGGGGAGCTGGCGCTGAAAGGCAGGCCAGGGCCAGACCAGGGAAGGCCTTGTGTGCCAGGCTAGGGCTGAAATTCTGCCATTTAGGCAACAAGGAATCACAGATGTTTGAGAAGGGATGTCATGCAACCCAACGTGTGTGCCAGCATGAAGGAACAGGAGAGGCAAAGAGTCTTGGCTACAGGAAAATCATCCATACAACTGCTGATAAAAGCCTGGACAGGGTTGGGATTGTAGCTCAGTGGCCAAGCGCCTGCCTCACATATGTGAAGCACTGGGTTCAATCCTCAGCACCACATAAAAATAAATAAACAAAATAAAGATGTTGCATCCATCTATAACTAAAAAATATTTTTTAAAAAGAGCCTGGTCAGAGGATGATGAAAATGAAGATCCCCAGGGACACTGCCTGGATGTGGGGATGTCAATCAGCATTTTGAAATCGGAGTAACCAGTGACAAGCCTGTTTGTGGAGTCTGCAAATTGGCTATAATTACCTTTATTCTGTTTTTACTTTTAGTTAAGAAATTATTTTGCGGGAGGCGATGTATATGTGGCTCCTGTATTGAAATTAAGATAAAACAACAATTAAGGCCCTGGAGCCCACATATCCCAGCAACAGCGCCCACAGGCCCACAGTTCCAGTCAGGGCCTCCTTTCAAGTCACAGGGCTCACAGCACACAAAAAATAGATCCAGTGGTATGTGCCCCTCAGCTTGTCAGTAATGCAGTGTGGCTGGTTTCTGGTTTATATGCTACAGGGAAAACGGTTGAGCTTTCTAACAGACAACCGTGGAAAATAAAGAGTTCTAAGGATAACCCCGGAGAGCAGATTTCATGGGAGCAATGAGGCAAAGGGTGCGGTGATGAATGGTGATGGAAAGTGTTGGGGTAACCCTCCTCTACCCTCTCATCCGACACACATGGAGTTTTCTCTTTCAGGACTGTTATAGCCCCTTTTTTCCTTTTCAACCACCGACCACTCAATTCTTGGAGGGAAAATTAACATTCATTATGCAATTTATCTCTCTCCTTTTAATCCAGAGTGTCTGTCTCCAAGGTCCCTACTCAATAATTAATGTTTGTTCTCATTTTCCATTCTCCAGAGCATCTATTCTTGAACTGTGGGGTCAACAATTAACACTAATTATGGCTTTTCCTCCCTCCACCGAGGGCTCTCAGAGTCCCAGGTTGCCGGCTCCGCCTCGGGGATGGGCGTGCATGTGCTCCGTTGGTGCAGCGCGCAGGCGCACAGGAGGCTGCCTTTCCCAGGCCTCCCAGCCGCTGAGCCAATCAATAAAGCCCAAACGTTCTTTTTTTGGCAAACTCCCTAATATATTTATTACCAGTAATGAGACAATGAAGCAAAAATAAATAAGATACTTGAAATAAATTGAGGTGGGTAATTAGCCTAAAAGATCTCTTTTCCAGATCAAATTTGCTAGGATTCTCTGACTTTTTCTTATTATCTCACATCTTTCTCTCTCTAGCTCACTTCTGGCCGCCCCCCTTACACACACACACTTTCCCTTTATAAACCATTCTTCCTTCATTTAGGATCCACTCATGGGGCCTCTTTGCTGTTACCTGTCCCTGAACTTTCTTTCTTAGGTCTGTCATCCTTATTCTCTTCAGTCATTCAAAAAGCATTGTTTTAATATATTTTCATTTTGACTGACAAGGACAGTTAGGAGAAGAATTCTCACCCCTGGTGGCTCTAACAGATCACAAAAGGATTCATCAAGAGCTGTGAAAAGCTTGTCTTGTTGGCTGAAGTCAGATGGGTTGGGATCCCTCCTCTCTGGCCTGGTCCAATTTGCCCCTTGTTTGGGAGCTACAGCTGGAGACTGGGGCTCCTCACACTTGTGTCTCAGTCCTGTGGCTGCACATCTCTTCAAATCTGGGCACCTCCTCCAGCGTATGTCATACGTTCACTGTTTTATGTTCTTTCTGTTAGAAGTTCTCTCAGAATTTCAGCATCATGGGCCCAGGAGTGTTTCACCTTTAAACATCTTAGATTAAAAACAGTATTTTCCTCAACGTTTTAAAAAATCCTAGATCAACATTCTCTCCCTAGTGGCATCAACAGATTCTCAAAACTATCCAACTGATGCTTAGGCATCAAGGCATCTCCTTGTTTTTTTCCCCTATCTTGGGGTAAGGAAAAGGGACTTTCCTCGAGTTTTTCACACTCTTAGGTAAACTCCCTGATTGTTTTTCAGTCTATGAATCTGCCTATTCAAACATCAGCCATGAAGAGGAAGGATCCAGTATCCAGCAAGTCCTGCAAAGTAAGCTTTTCCCTAAAAGACTGTCTCTACTTGTCTGTCTCATTTGACTCGTGAACATATGATTTTCATACCTACACTTCCAGGAGCACATCGTGCCTCCCCTAATATACCAGTAAAAGGGGCTTTACTTCTTGGGAAGCCTGAGAAAAGTGGAGTCCTCATGAATTACTCGTGGACAGCCCAGTATGCTGTAATCTGAGTGTAAATATTAGAAAACACTAGAATTTGGCTCCAACCAAATTGCACTTAGCTGGTCCAAGAAGGGTAAATTGCAGGGCTGTCCTGTGGGTCCCACAGGCTGTACACTGTACAATTCCCACAATAATGAGGTGGACATTGCTCCCTGGAGTTGTGCACAGCTCAGCCTGCAGAACCACAAACTAGGAAGCTCTATGGAAAAGACCCTCCGACTTGCATTTTAAGTGGAAGACTGAGGCCAGCTCTGCCTCTTCCGATTCCTTTAAGTTTCATTTCCCCCATGGAAAGATATACAAAACTTCGTAGCTCATCTTCCACCCACAGACAGGGCTGTTGCTGCTGCTGCTGCTGCTTCAGACCAGGGGGAAATGATGATTAGGTAGACATTCTCTCCCTCTCCTAAAAATAGTCTTTGATTAACAGGGAAATGTGTGTGGTCTCTCTTGCTGCTTATTTAGGGGGCGGTGGGCGGGTGGGGGGGGGAGAGAAGCAGCTTGCAGGAGGGATCTGGCCTAGTAACAGGAAGCAACAGATTGAGGGCTGGAGCCAGAGCTGGGTGGAGGCAATTGTTCTTGCCAGAGATTGCAAAAGTAGGAGAAAAGGCACAGACATATCCTTGCCAATCTCAAAATCTCTAAGCAGAGAAATACCTGCGAGTCTAGACCCTGCATTCCCCGCTTGCTATCTTCTCAAGCAGACACCCTGACCTCAGTAGGAGGAACTTCAGTGTTCATTTGCTCATTTTCACATTGGGCCAGAGCAACTCTTAAATAGCAGCCTTCTAGTAAGATGATGATGGTGGTGGTGGTGATAATGATGTTGATGATGATGGTGTTGATGATGATGGTGGCGATAGTATGGTGATCATGGTGAATGATGATGGTGCTGGTGGTAGTGATAGTTACCCTACTTAGCTCTGATATGCCAAACATTGAGGTTTTGTTTTTTTTTTTCTTTAAAGATTTTTTTAAAGATGGACTCAGTATCTTTATTTATTTTATTTATTTTTATGTGGTACTGAGGATCGAATCCAGTGCCTCGCATGTGTGAGGCAAGTGCTCTACCACCAAACTACAGCCCCAGCCCCTATCTTCACTTTTTATCTAGGATAATGTGGCTCAGAAAGGTTAACTGACTTGCCCAAAGTTATATGAAGTACACAGCTAGAATTGAATCCTGCATTTTTCTGATATGCCTGGTTACTAGTGGTATCAATATAAATAGGCACATTTCTGTCTGATAATATATGACTTCATAATGACTTCTGCAAACAAATGGCTTCTGTTGAACACCCATCTCCCCCTCCAATTCCCCTTACTCAGTATCAAATACCCTTTTGTGGGTCACTGAAAATGACTTTTTGCAAATTTATGGGGAAAAGAGAAGAAACTGAAAAAAAAAATAAAACTACGGGAGAACCAGTGTGGAGGCAAATTTTCAATCAAGATAGTCTGTTTTACAGGATAGTTCTTCAAACCAAAACATTCTTCCTAGTACAGCCAAAAAATGTTATAATTTCACTTATTTTTTATTAAAATGTCACCAAACAAGAGATTTTCTTTGGATTAAGAAGAATCCTCTTGGGCTGAGGGCATAGTTCAATGGTAAATAATTTGCCTTGTATGCATAAGGCCCTGGGTTCATACTTCTGAGAAGCTAATATATAGTCATTCACACTTTAGTGAAAATTTAATCAGTAGTCCTTTTGCAGCCCAGCTGAGATTAGATGTACTGAGGGACTAAAAGTTCTGATACAGGACAGAAACAGAGATGAGTTATTTGGAAGTAAGTGGAGTTTTAAGGGTTGAAACATTCCTGACAGGTGGAAGACCCCAGAGAGCTTGGATGAATAGAAGCACGTCAGTGTATGGAGAGGGGGACACTGGAAGGAGGAAGCACAGTAAGGGAAATGTAGGGTGTCAGAGACAAACTTACCCTTTTACAGCACGGCCCCATGGCCAGCTCTATATCCAAGAAAGGGAAAAGAAATTTATTCTTTCTCCTCTCTACTCCTAATAACTAAAAGATCATAAACTAACACAAATCTCTTGCTTCCAAACTTTAAAATATACTGTTCTCTGTGCTTGGGGCACAATCCTCATCTCTTCCTATCCAATGTATTTTTTTTAATTGTGGTACAATACACATAACCTAAAACTTCCCATCGGAACCATTTTTAAATGTACACAGTAGCACTGAGTTACAATCACATCGTTACCAGCCAATCTCAAGAACTCTTTTCATTTTGCAAAACTGAAGCTTTATACCCAATAAACAACTCCACCTTCTCCTGTTCCCTAACCCCCAGCAACCTGTACTACTTTCTGTTATCCTCAATTTTTACCCCGGGTCTTGGTTAACTCCTGTTAATCCTCAGTTCCCGATTTAGCTCTCAAGCTGAGAGGCAGGTTTTCTGCTTCCCTCAGCCCACCTTCCCCCCCCCCCCCCCCCCCCCCCCCTCCTCGCTCTCACCTTCCACCCCTCCAACCTGGTGACAGGCCCCTCCACATGCACACAGTGTAGCGATGCTTTCCCCATCACAGCATCTGTCTCACAGTATTGTTGACTTACTAGACTTTTCTCTTTATGAGACTGCAAGCCTTTTAAGGGCAGAGTGCTTTAGCATGCCCAGTACCCAGTGCAGTGCTAGTGGTGACACACCAATTGTTAATGTTTCCTAAGTATTTGCTGCTTGAAGGATTTCAGTTACTGGAGGAGTTAAACAGGGGTTTTTGTTTGGTTGTTTGTTTTGTGTTTTCACATTGACTTGGGAGTCTAATCGCCATGCAAAACATAGTCTCTGCTGGAAAATGCATTCCATCACTGCCCGTACATAAGCTCAGAGTGCCACTTTCAGAACTTAGAATATAAGAACTTTAGGGGCTGGAGATATAGCTCAGTTGGTAGAATGCTTACCTCGCATGCACAAGGCCCTGGGTTCAATCCCCAGCACTACAAAAAAAAAAAAAAAAAAAAATAAGAACCTTATTTGTTCCCTCCATTTGCTCAATGACCTTAACAAAAATCCCTACATCTCTTTGTGTCTAACACAAAGGAGATGGATGTAACAGTAATATGAAAATACTTGATTTGTTTTTAAGGAGATGGATGTAACAGCAATATGAAAATACCTGATATCCTCTTGAACTAAGCTAAAAGAGCAATTCATGACATCTTTGCATTGGAATCACCTACATAGCTGTTGCAACTTTTTGTTTTCTTTTTGGTCATTTGGTTTTAATGAACATTTTTTTCAATAAAAGTGATAGTAGGCTGGGGCTGTAGTCAGTGGCAGAGCACTTGCCTGGCATGTATGAGGCACTGGGTTCAATCCTTGGCACCACATAAAAATAAACAAATAAAATAAAGTCATGCTGTCCCTCTACAACTACAAAAAAAATTTTTTTAAGTAATAGTATTCCATATATATTATATAGATGGTGAACTTTATGGGTATTTGTGAATGTGAAGGTTGGTATCAATTATTTGCAAATTATTTTAAAAGTGAGGGATACAGCCAGGTGCTGTGGTGCACACCTGTAATCCCAGCAACTTGGGAGGCTGAGGCAGGATGATTGTTAGTTCAAAGCCAACCTCAGTAATTTAGCAAGGCCTTAAGCAACTTAGTGAGACCCTGTCTCAAAATATAAAATAAAAATGACTAGAGATGTGGCTTGGTGGTTAAGCAACCCTGGATTCAATCCCTGGTACAAAAAAAAAAAAAAAAGGCTGGGAATGTAGCTCAGTGATAATGCACCCCCTTGGGTTCAATTCCCAGTATTATACACAGAAAAAAAAAGGTCAGGAACACATATAATTTGTATTTTACAGAGGCATTAAGTCAAATCATAAACACTACAAAGCTGGAAGAAGACCATGACTAAGCTAGTAGATGAGCCTGACAATACGCCAGCACCATGTCTCCGTAACGTGGTTTATAGTCATTATAACATCTGCAATAGCTCTTGTGCCATTATTTTACATAGAAGAGCCTTTATTCATTTATATTTAATATACATATATATAACCTACATATACACATACACATATACATTTGTAAAGGCCCTAAAAGACCAACTCTTGGGTCAGAGATGAAAGTAAGAAAAAGTGAAATGGTCTAACAATTTGATGATTCTCTGTCCAAAAAAAAAAAAAAAAATAGTTTTTATAAATCTCTCTAACCTTTTACTTATAGATTCACTAATAGTCTAAAGAACCCTCCCTCTTTTTTCACTCCAACTTCAGTTTTACTGTGGATATGATATATCAGGGATATTTACAATCTAAGGATTCTTAAAATTCTCAAGGTGTGTCCCTCCCAGGTAGCCAGGATCTGCTGTCATTCAGTATGTGAAATGCATGAGGGAGGAGGCCCAAGCAGTGAAGTATTTGGTAAAATGCATTTTCAAGCTGAAATGAATTTTAAAATTGTGTGTGTGCTTGCATGGTGTGTATCAGTTTTATTTCTCAACCTATAATAAAACTTAAAACATGATTTTTTTTGTCAGAGTAATCAAAAAAATATAATTTTCATTAACCAGTCATCAAAAAATATTTCTTTTAATTTTTTTTAGTTGTAGTTGACACAATACCTTTATTTTATTTATATGTGGTGTTGAGAATCGAACTCAGGGCCTCGAGTGTGCCAGGTGAGCGCTCTACCGCTGAGTCACAACCCAAGCCCAATAAAGATTTTTTAGAATACCTTTTTCCTGAACTGGGATTGAACCCAGGGCCTCACACATGTTAGGTAAGCACTCTAGCACTGAGCTACATCCCCAGCCCTATAAATATTATTTTCTGTTTTATCACATTTCAAATATTTGTGTTATCTTCTCATCAAAAACAGTCATTAAAAGCATGAAGTTTTTCTTTTTTTCTCTCTCTCTTTTTTTTAATGAGTTTTTTCTTAAGGCCTTTTTCCCTCTTAGTTTCTGTTGCTCTTGCTTTCTTCACACATTCCCCTGTGGCCTAAGGATTTTCCTCTATTCTCCATTCAATTCCTCATTTGAAAATTAATGTAAACACCAGCTGGGGATGTGGCTCAGTGGCTGAGTGCCCCTGGGTCCAATCTCTGGTACTGGAAAAAAAAATTAAATTAAAAAAAAAAAAAGTAAAGAAGAAGAAATAGAGACTACCCCTAGAAACTGAATTGGCTGGTCACTTTGTATGCAGATGTAGTTTCAGCTCTTTCTTGAATTCCCTTCCTCCACATGGTCGGTCTTCTATCACAAATATCCTAATCAATCCTGTGATGTATCCTGATTGGAGGGCTTCTCACGTAGTTGATATATTATTACAACACAATTCAAATTTAAATTCCATCATCTAACTTGGCTTCCATTTGGGGCTTGGTAAACTGCCATGCACCTTTGGACTTCCCCATTAAAAATAATTCATAAACTTTTGAGAGAAGCTGGTATTCCCAAAACGAAAGCCAGATCTTTGAGACTTAGCTAGTCTTTGTCTAAGAAAATATAAGTAAATAAAAGGACTGCTATTCCAAATTGGAGGAAAAATACAGCCCTCCTATTTGCTAGGCACTTCCACATTTAAATTCAGACTGACTCATATTTTCTAGATCCATCTACTCCCAGGGGTATATCTTTAGCCTGGAGACTTTCTCAGGTCTCCAGGAACTATTTGATATGCCTATCTCACCCTCCTCCTCATCTAGGAAGATTTAAAGGGAGACTGTGTAGCATAAACAGGGTCTTAAATCTTGTCCCAAGAATTTGATAATTACAATACCAAAAGGCCATCTTGGGTCTTGGTCTCCTTCATGAAACAGGCAGACTTAAAATTTATTATAATGCTACAAACGCTCTATAGGTCATAGGCATCTTGAGTCACCCCATATAAAATAAAGTATTTTTAGATATTCTTAAGGCCAGCAGGACCAGAATAAGTCTTCCTTTTATAGTTAAGTTTATACTGGGAAGAATTTTATTTTAATAATTTGGAATTTGCATTTGCATTTTCCATTTATGACCAAAACCACAAAACCATGAAGGTACCAGGGCTGGCACTTAAGCCTTCACCTACTGGTTTCTGTTGGGGCCAGAAGTCCACTATGAAGCTGTGAGAAGGCAGGGCGGTTTCTGAGATCTTTTTGGCTGTGGATATGTCCCAGGCAATGAGATACTACAAGTTATGGATTCCATGAGAGCATTCTAGTAATCAGAAAGCACTCATCCCTGAGAGATTGTATGGGTGGGAAAAGGCCCTAATCAGATTTAAAGAGGTTCCTGCCAACGCCTCTGACCACTACTGCCCTGGTAACCACAGAAAATATGGCCACCTCGGAGCCTGTAGGAAGGTCCATGTTCTTTGCCAAGCCCTGACATGTATCTAGGAAGGAGCCAGGTGGCCCTCCTAGCCTGATAAGGTGACTCTTTGTAGTTAGGTTTCTATTTTGACATAGATGAGGCCCATGAGGCCCGTACCAAAGGAAATAAATACCTTGAAACAATTGTCATAATTATGATTATGTTCCATTTCTCTTTAAACAACAACTTGGGAATGGAACACTGTCCACGGGGACTTAGAAGGAAATTTTAAGAGGCCATATTCTGTCTAGAATCTGATGCTCTTTCCTGCTTTTTAGGTTTTGAGTGTTAGCTGAAGGATCCCATGATCTGAAAAGGCAGAAGGGGTTTGGGATGAGACCCCCTCTAATAAGGGTCATCTCTGAGACGGCCTGGTTATCTGGCTAGGAATGCTATCTCCTCACTAAAAGCCTGTGGTTAGATTAATGCAAGCGTTTGAAAATCTGCTGGGGCCTGATGGTGGGCAGCCAGGGAAGGAATGTGTTTTCTGTTTATCTCTTTAGTGGCAGAAATGTTCATCACACAAAGACTGTGAGCTCCCAGGTTCAGGCATGCCTGGAAGTGGGGCAGTGTGTAGCTCGTGTATACACCAGCTCCTGGGCAAGGAGGAAGAATCAGACCTTGTGTTCACAGCCAGGTCCCTGGGTTGGTCAACGGGTTAGTCGGTTTCTCTGACTTGATCGCAGGGATAGATCTTTCCATATTGTTCCAAGAGGCAGTTTTACCACCCCCATTGCTTTATCTCCCAGGAATGCAGTTGGAGTGGTGTCTCCTCCTTGACAGCTGGGACCTCAGTAAATTACCAGGGTCTTGACCCAAGAGATGAGAAGTCCTAAGTGATTTTTCAGTCTCCTATCTAAAAATGTGTTTACATTTCTTGAACTCTGGCTGACTGATTCATTCTCCTGGTGTTGCAAGAACTTCCCTTATGCATTAGAATTTATAAGTTTCGTTTCTGAGAGACCCAAGGTTCTTTCCAAGCCACAGTGAAGTGAACCTCATCGCAACACAATTCGGCTGGGCCGGATTTGTCCAGAGGATGGATCACCGCCAGGCAGCTGTGATGTGGCAAGCTCCAAGCCAGGCGAACAGGAGGCAGGGATGTGGAGGGAGTAGCACAAGACGTTAAGTCAGGACATCTGGGTTCTGGTTCCTGGTCTTGTGCTATTCTGAGATATGGCCTTGAGCCAATCTCATAAAACCACTCTCTAGGCCTCAGTTTCCCCGCAACCTGACTTAAAATGAGAAATGTTTAAAGTCTCTGCAGAAGCCATTTTCAAATAAGACAGAAGGGAATGGCTGAGGGGGGTAAAAAAAACCGGAAGATCAACCCACAGGGGACCTTTTTTCAGGTCAAAAAGACAAAAATACAGAGTCATGGATGGTCACAGGCTCGTAAAAAGAGCTACTTATGAACCAAGAATGGAGAGAACTTTTTGTTGGACACTGATCCCTTAGAGGAGACTAGAATCCTTATGAGTAGAGCCATGTGCTTAGCTAAATCTTTTCCTCAAATAAACATTCCTTTATAAACATTACAGTTACTTTCTTAGGGAGAGAAAAAGAAAAAATAAATTCTACCCTGAAGCATCATGGAGTCTTAGAGTCAGGCAGTCTTGGACTGAAGCCCTCACTAGTTGTTGGCATTCCATATCATCATAGAGGAGAATCCTGGGGATTACACACAACACCATGTGGTTCCTGCCTCTAGACGGTCTTCATCATGTCCATTAGTCTCCTCCCACCAGCCCCACCTCAGCCTTGACCTTCCTTTGTTCCTTGTTCCCACCTCTCCTGTTGCTGGTCCACATTTTGAAGGGAAACGGAAGTCTCTCATCTCTCTATCTGGGAGTTTGCAGAAGCATTTTCCTACTTTAGCAAAGGGTAATCATACAAAATTTATATTCCACAGCATCAGCAGGTTTTTTCCATCAATATTTCCTTTTTAATTTCAGTGTTATTTGAATTTTAATAGCACGAAGAATTTACTTTTGTTCTTCTAAAGAGCAACCAAAACAAGAAAAAAATCCAAATTTGAATACAAGGTCTTAACACCATGTATAGTGTGATGTTTAGTCTGTGCCTGTAAAAGTCACAGGTGTTATTTGGTGGATAAATCTGAATTCCATAGGTGTATATGTGTTTATAATTTTACATACCTATGAAGTAGGGATGCATGTGTGTGGTTCATATAAAAATTCATGAGACCTAGATATGACAACCTTGATTCTTTTTCTCTCCGATTTTCAACATAGCAAACACTGAATCTGGAACCAATCTTCGCATGAATCTTTATGAAATTTCACCTTTGACCCAAACAACAGAGAAGCAGGTACAGTATTGACTCTGAATGAGCATGATACTCGGGATTAAGACTCTTGGGTTCTTATTCCAGCTTGCTGAGTGACCCTAGGTGAGATTCTTTACCTCTCTGAGCCTCTTTTGCCTACTCACTAAAATGAAGCACATAAACCATCACATCACAGAGGTTACTATACTCAGACTTGGAATGTCTTAACTGAGCTTGGACTATTGTCTGGATCTTCATGTATATCAATAGGCTGAGAAGGCTTTTCCCTGACTTGTTCAAAGTCAGAGAAGGAACAAGGAAACACCAAAAAGCTATCCTCTATTGAGGCAAAAGGCACACATTTTCATCCCTAATGGGGGGAAAATTATCAGTCATGGAAAAAATTGCGATGATCATGAAGAAAGAAGAAAACATTTCCTCTATTAATAGATACTAGGAATATCTATTAGTGTTTCAAGGTCATATGTGCAGAAATATTTACAAGTCTGCTTCTTCTTTGGAAGCTCTGAAGCTGGGACCACCTTCAGATTCCCGCTAGAGAGTCAACTCAGAGCAATTCCTAGAGCTGAATCCAAGTCTCAAAGAACCTGAGGCAGAAGCAGCGCAAAGCCCAGGGCACTCAGGTCTCTCCCTGCTGTGTGACAGTCTCTGGGGCCATGATCTCTTATTTCTCCCATATCTCCAACTTCCTGCCACAGTCTGGCTCCCCTCCTCCCTCACCTGTTAAAAATAACAATAGAAATGGGTGTTTCCCCAGTGCCCATGCAGGCTTCTGAGGTGGGCCTGAGCTCACTGTTGGAACCCAGGCTTGGGTCAGGCCTCTGCTGAGGTAAACACAGCTGGGCCGCCCCTCCCCGCTACAGAACCAACCATGAAGGTTTTTTGTTTTTTGTTTTTTTAAATGCCTATTTTGAAGACACCCCTTATAAGGAATCTAGAGGCTTTAAAAAAAATAAGAGAACCTGTGACTAAGGAAAATATAATATGGTATATTTTGGTAATTCCACAACTCCAAAGGCCATGCAGATGCCTCCTCCACACTTCAAATTCATGCAGCCCCATGACTGCATTTTAACATCACTGGGAATGAAAGAGAACCTCAGTCATGTAATATTAAGTCCTAGGCTCAATCATGAACTTTGCTGTTAGAAAGAAGAGCACCAGGCCCTGGGTCTTAAAATTGAATCCTGGTTCCTCCTGCATAGCTGTGACAGGCTTTACTATGAGAACTTACTAAGAGAACTTCATGGACCTCCTTTGTGAAAAGAGGGGGTAGTTCCCTCCAGAACCAGTTGGTTCCTTATAAAGTCTCAGTGGTCTTTATTTCTTTAGAAAAAAGCCTGAATAAGAAACCCTTTGAGGAAAAGTCTAGGGGGCCCCACCAGTCCCCAAACCCAGAGAAAATAGGGAGAAGGTTAGGCCTCTCACAGCCCCTAATTCTCAAAGCTAATGGCCCTTTATTGGATTAATCACTGACTTCCATGTTAACCACTTCCTCAACCCACTCCACATAAATGACTAATTTCATGTTTACTATAAAGCATCTGGAAAGGATTTAGAAACAAATTTCTGCACAGCAGATTTCAGTTACTTACCTTGATGGGCCACTGGCAAACAGGGTGGATTCCTTCCACTGTGGCCTTTCCCACTCTGAAGCAGGCGACGATATCACACAAAATTGATTGTAATCAGCATCAGCCGTTCCTGCCCTTGTTTTTTTTTTTTTTTTTTTTTTTTTTGTTTGTTTGTTTGTTTTTTGTTTTGTTTTTGTTTTTTGGGGGTTTTTTTCCATTAATTCCCCCACTAACTCAACCCCCCTCCCTTGGGATCTGGCCCCAAAGGGAGCCACATAAAATATTTTTTTTTTAAATCACAGTGCCTGCTGAGGTGTGGAGGTGGGGCGGGCTATCCCTAAAGGTGGGATATTTTGGTACCACGACGATCTGTGGGTGGGAGAGTCAGGGAGACTGTGCTTAGCAGCCTGGGTTGAGTGGAGTTTCCAGGTTTGGGAAGTTGCCTCTGGTGCCCCCTACTGGTGGGATTGAGCACCCCACGCCCTGGCCGGAGCAGAACGGGTTAGGATCCTGCCTCCAGTAGCCTGCAGAACACTCCGAAAGGATAGCAAAAGGTGAGAAGAACCCCTGAGGCACCCCTTCTACGTCTGACCAGAAGATCAGGAGGATCAGGGCCTCGGCGGTAAATCCTTCAGTAGAAATGAAAGCAGCAACTGCCACGAGCAACTTCTAGGAGTTGGAAGAGGGGGTTAAGTTGTGGGAAAGAGGGGGAAGAAAACTACAAGGGGAAATGTGGAGATGAAAAGAGCATTGAAAAAAGAAAAAGGAGACAAGCAGACATGTTTCAACTCCAAGCTCCCATTTCCTCTTTCAAATGAACTGCCTCCCCACTGTGAACAGAATCAAGTATTTATGAAGGCATTTTTTGCATATTAATAGCTGCATATGGATGGAGCCTTGCCAGTTCTGAAGTCCTAAAGGTACGGTGCCCTTTTTTTAATGCAGGTCCTCCCAACTCCTCACCGAATTTGGTGTTCTTCAGATTTATTTCCCTTTCTGCCTTGTGGCTCCTCCTCAGGCCCTGCATTTCATTAAGGGAAATTAGTTCCTAGGATACCTTCAGAGACCAAGCGCTGCTCTTCCCTCTGTGGGTAGCTGACATCAATCGCCAGAGAGCTTTTCCTCCTCCCCAGGGCCTCTCTGTGGAGGCTGCAGGTTGGGTGAGATGACCAGCACCTAAAAAGAGTATTAAAATTCCTGAAAGAATCATTAACATATCTCTGCAGTGGTAGAAAGTAAAACTAGAAAAAGTAAAATAGTTTCATTGACTTTAACATTACTGTCCATACTCAATAAAGATTAAAATCAACATTGAGAACCAGTCCAAAGAATAAGCAAAAGACATAAGCAATTAACATTAAAAAATGATGGTGGGGTGTGGCTCAGTGGTAGAATGCTTGCCTAGCATGCACAAGGCCCTGGGTTCAAACCCCAGCATCACCATTAAAAAAAAAAAAAAAAAGATGGTAATAGAAAACAAATATGGAAAAAATATTCATCCTAATAGCAATAATTTTTCTGAGCAGCAAATTAAATGCATATTGAGGCAAATTCCATATTGAGATTTCTGCCACCTCCCACTTTTTTAAACGATTGCACCCAGAGCTGCCAAGGTGTTGGTAAAACTGGTACACCTACAAACTTATGCTGTATTATAATTTGGTTGGATTCATTTGTAAAGCAATGGCAGTATGACTCATGAACTATGAAAAGGTATTCATACCCATTGACTCAGTATATCTGACTTCTAGAAATTTATATGAAGGAAATAATTCAGCAGGGGGAAAAAATGAGTAAACATGTCCATTGCAGCATTTCCTTAATAGAGAAAAAATTATAAACAGCCTAGAAGTCTATCAGAGAATTGATTATTATGATGGCATAGGGGTTTAATTCATGCACTTTTTTTATTCATGCTAGAAACTGTGACTTAATACTAATGATTCAACACAGGGTTTCTTAACCTCAACATCATTGACATTTTGGACCAGATGGGGAGATATTCTGTGCCTTGTAGGCTATTGAGTGACATCCCTGGCCTCTACTCATTAGATGTCAGTAGCACACCTGCCCAGTTGTGACAACCAAATGTTTCCAGATCTTGCTAAATGTCCCCAGGGGAGCAAAATCGCCTATCTCAGTTGAGAACCACTGATTTAATATTTTGAAAGTACAATTATAATTGAAACTACTGTTTGTTTTGTTTTAAACTATCTATAAGGAAAAGACTTGCAAATGATACAATAAAAAAGTACAATCAGGCTAACTTGAAATTGGGGTGTGCTGAGGTTTTTTTGCTTTTATTTTGTTTTCCTGGGATTTTTTTTTTCAATTTTTTTAATTCTCCCTATAAAAGGGAAAGATGGATCATGAGAAGAGCTGATTTTATCCAAGGGTAGCTTAAAATATCTAGAAGTCACAATATACAACAAGAATACAGCAAACTAAGCAGGGCTCAACACCATAGCATCATCATTTTCTTCAACTACTATTGGTTTAAGTATTTAACCTTAGCTAGGTTTTTATTAGTCTATTGAATAGAGCCACCAGAATTCACCTTTCAAAGACCTCAACCCTTTTTCAACATTTTATTCCTCTGACTGTAAGGCTCAGGGAGACAATGAATTTGCGCCTCCCCCCCCCCCCCCCCCCCACTCCCCCCCAGCTCTCAGAAAACTCTGGGTCTCAAGTATGAAACTCTTGTCCATCCAGTCAGCTTGGGACAAAGGCAGGGGTGCTGAGCCCAGTGGTTTAAAGAACTGACAAAGCAAAGAGGTTGTCAGCAAAGAGTAAAGAGCAAACTCAGCCTCTAATTAGATTTCCCAAGAATCCTTGCATCACTTTGTCTAAAATAAGAAAAAGAGTATCTCCCCTGGCCTCACCTAATGGATTTTCTCTCTTTGTTCCAACTATCTCCAATATTGGGAGAGCAAACAGCCTTTCTCACATGCTTTATCTTGGGTTTGGCTTTTGTTGCTTTGTGGAGATTAGACACAATTTAGTAGTGTCCTAAAGATTCTGTTCAATTTGATCCTATGTGTCCTAAATTTGCTCTTTTGGGATTTCAGAGAGTGACCTGTAATTCTAGCATGCTAGGATTGGGGATGAATAAACCTGTGTACCCCATCTGTTTCCTCGGGGAGTTCACAGATGTTTTTCATATTTCTTGTCAGCTGCCTTCTTTCAAGACAATAAACCCACACATACACCTGTGGACCCACTATGTTTTGTACAAAGGTTTTAAAGTAGCCTTTTGTCTCAGTGGTCTTTCAAAGCAATACCATACCCTTTATTATGGTTAACATTTTGGAAAACTGTTACCTAAAAGAACAAACAACGTGGGTTGGGGCTGTAGCTCAGTGGCAGAACATTTACCTAGCATGTGTGAGGCACTGGGTTCAATCCTCAGCACCACATAAAAATAAACAAACAAAGGCATTCTGTCCA